GTCGTCCATCCCTGACACAGTTGCCAACCACCTCCTGGCCTTTGCTGAGGTCTCACCAGCTCTCCTGGCCCACGTGGTGAACCTGGCAGATGGGAATGGCAACACAGCCCTGCACTACAGTGTCTCCCACTCCAACTTCCACATCGTGTGGCTGCTGCTGGATACAGGTCAGTGCTCCCCAGCCCCAGAAACATGCCCTGGCCACCATCCCACTGTACTCCAGGACATGTCCTGGCCATGTCAGCACAGGGGGAAGGCAATGGCAGCAGAGGGGCAAGGAGAGCTGCCCTGGATTATGTCTGTTCATAGGTGTGGGGGTCAAAGTAGCCACAGCCCAAATTTCCTGGGGGAGATCCATTAGCAGTTCTGTGCCTATGGGATGGCTCACAGCACCCTGGTCAGGACTGTGAGGGAGAGCCAAGCACATGGCTTGGTCCATGTCTCCCACCAGCTGTGCAGCATCCTGAGCCCCCTCTGCCCATCCCCACAGGGATCTGTAATGTGGACCACCAGAACAAAGCTGGGTACACTGCCCTCATGCTGGCAGCACTGGCAGCTGTTGAGCAGGAGGAGGACATGAATGTGGTCAGGAGGCTCTTCAGCATGGGCAACGTCAACGCTAAGGCCAGCCAGGTTGGTGTGGTCTGAGGGCCACCACATTTTGACCCTCCCACCCCCACCTCCCAGATGCCAGAGCCATGCTCAGCTCTTCCAAGGGCAGGACAATGGCTCCAAAACCTGGAGGCGTCAGTGCATGAGGAGTGCATCACCTTAGGAGCTCCTCCTGTGTGGCAGCAGGGCTGTCTCAGCAGTGGTCCTGTGGTTCAGGACAAGTGGGTAGCACAGCAGGGGCAGGGGTGGCCTGGCACTGTCCCTTCCTTGCAGGCTGGCCAGACAGCGCTGATGTTGGCTGTCAGCCATGGCCGGCAGGAGATGGTGGAAGCCCTACTCGCCTGCGGTGCCGACGTGAACCTGCAGGACGAGGAGGGCTCGACCGCGCTGATGTGCGCCTGTGAGCACGGCCGTGTGGAGACTGTGAAGCTGCTGCTGGCTCAGCCCACCTGCAACATCTCCATCGTGGACAGTGTAAGGTTCTGTCACTGGGCTGGGGCAGCCAACGCTATGTCCTGTCCCCAAACCTCTTTCTGCATGCTCTCCTTTACTTTCTAGGATGGCAACAATGCTGTTGCCATTGCACTGGAGGCTGGTCACAGTGACATCGCTGCACTCCTCTACGCCCATCTCAACAGCACAAAGGCGCAGGCACCCGTGAGTACCACACCGCTCCCCGTGAGAGGAGAAAGGGCTGTGACACAGATGAGTGTCTCCAGGAAGAGGCTGCAGGAGCAAAAGCAGAGCATTTCAGGTGCCACATGCTCAGAACAGCCCTGCTGGCCCTGACCAGGAGTCACTGGAGGGTCTCTGGTGACTACTGTATTGCAGCAGGAGACTTCACCGACAGCCACAAAGAGACCTGGCAGTACAAAGAAACCAAATTAGAGTGCCCTTGGGATCCAGCCAGGAGCAACCATCGGCACTGGCCTGTGATTCACATCCCCTCACCTGCCACCCTTCTGTGCTGAATCACTCTGCAGCTTTAGTCCCATTACAAGCACCATCCCTGGGCCTCCCATGCCCATCTCCTCCACTGGATGCAGCCCACACGTGGCCACCTCACCGCCAAGTGACCGGAGCCAAGTGACCTAAGGGCAGGAGACACAGGGAGCAGAAGCCACCCTACCCCTTCTGCTCCCTGCCACGACCACCAGAGCTGCACCACCTCTGAGCCCTCAGCAAGGAGGAACAGCAGAGAACCAACTCAGCAGAAACAGCACCTGGTTTGTGTTCTCTGGCAGCTCCAAGGTGGCAGCAGTGCCAGTGATGGAGCCAGGAGAGCAAGTGGTGGGTCCTGGCCTCAGCAGGGACATGGTGCTCAGCAGGCACACATCCAGTGCAGCAATGGGAGAGAGAATGCTGCCTTGGACAGGGGCTGTTTCCAGACTCAAATACTTGCCCTTCTTTTCTAGCATTTCCTTTCTTGGCTGAAATCTGTTGGTTTTTTGTTTTTTTTTTCTCTTTTCTAGCACATGCACTCAAAGCAAAAAAATTATATTGCTTGGCCAAATTATGAAGTTCAGCATGAATTTGGGATTTGATTTGCTCTGCTCAATGGGAGCAAAACCTCTGAGCAGTTGGGGTCGCAGCCAAGTGATAAAAGGAGCTTAGGGCCAAGGATGCATCTGGGGACTAAGCCTACCTACCTGATAATTTACAAGGGGAGCAGGTCCTTCTCCCAAGGGAGAGAGACCAATTACATCCTAAACATTTCCCCAATTAGCCAGTCCCACAGATTGTGCAGACATCCAGAGCCCACAGCTGAGTCCCTCTCTGACCACTTTCCATCCCAAAAGGGAGGAAAGTAGCTGAGGACAGCACCAGGAAAAACACACGGGCCAGAAGAGCTCAGAGCACACAGGTTGCGCCTGCAAAGGGGAACACATATGTCAGAGAACATGTCTGTGCAAGTGTGTGAGGGCTGTCTGGGGTGGGAACAGGGTAAGGACAAGGACCAGGAGGAAAAAGGTTTTTGCATGGGGAGGCAGCTCTGCTCTGAGCCTTCACAAAGGTAATGTGTTGTGCCCTTCATTCCTTCCCCTTGGCCCAGCCTCACCACTTCTGCCCCTGCCTGACCTGCTCTGAGCTGGGGAACCCCACAATCCTCTCCAGAAACTTGCTCTCAGCTTTGCACTGGAGTTAATATACAGCGCTCACTGCCATTCCCTAATACACTACTCTGTTTACTGGTATTTTAATACTGATGTTTATTTTTAAGATATAAAGTTATTTTGAAATATTACAGTGATATCTGCAGTCTTCTGCCTTGTCTGGTTCACAACAAACCCTGCAAGAAGAGCTGGGGCAGAGGCACAGCCTAGCACAGCCCCCAACCTAAGCAGGTGACCCCACATTCCAAGTCATTCACTGCAAGTTTATGCACTGGCTATATCCCTCAGTCTGGCTTTCTTCCTGCTGAAGTGTGCCAGGCAGCTGCAGCGGTGTCTTTTCCCCTTTCATTCTGCAGGACCAAGAGGAACACAGGACCAGCTGCAGCCCTGCACTGCCCCTGGTTCTCTGTGGTGCTGATGTTACAGTGCATCATTAAAGAGCAATCATCAGACCAAGTGCAAGGATGCAAACTGCCTCCCTCCTCGTATGGATGGGGACCAGGCTGACCCCACAGGGATATTCCAGAAGGGATACAGTTCTCTAAGCCACTCTGTCCCAGTCACCCAGCACATAGGGCTGGCAGGGGCCAGAACACTCCTGGGTCACTGATGAAGTTGTGAGGGAATGAACAGCAGCCACAGAACTGAACTCTGAGAGGACTTCTGACACACATGACCAGTTCTGAGCTCTGCTGCATTACATAAGCCAGGGAACACAGCCTTGTACTAATTCTCTGAAACCCCCAAAAAATCACAAATTACATCAAGCAACAGCAGAAACACAAGGGCTTTCTCCATGGCACAAACTCCTCACCTCATGTTGCCCATGAGCTGCCCATGAGTTGAGGGCACAACTAAAACTTGCAGAAAGGACAAATCCCACACTCTAACATCAGCCCTGCAACAATCATCAGTGCCTGCTCCAGTTCAACATTTTTCACATCTCTCATCAGTGCTTTGCTCAACTCAAATCCCCAGAAACACCTGCTACTGAACTGCTTAGTCAAGCTCAGGACACTGAAGACAACCACTCCCCATCAGAGACTATACATGAGGCTGCAGATCTGACTCTGCCCATCCCTACACCACAAACCTGGACCACTCTATAAGCAGATAAAAGATGCCAGTCCTTAAAAACCTGCCCTTGAAACAGCAGTTTTAAGGCTCTTTCTAGACTTTTCAGCCCTATTTTGACTTATGTAATATCCTGAAACACATCTTGCTAACTGATTCTGTGGTGGAAGGGAAAGCCCAAGTGAGATGAAGGAGTCAATAAATCAGTGACAAGCACTTGCTCTCTATGGGTGACTGCCAGGAATGACAGTAAGTCAGTGTTTTATGGCAGCATTCACTGAGCAGTTTGCTGAGAACAGAGGGACAGAAACAGCAAGCTGTCGCTTTGCAAGCTAATACCAAGCTTGACTTTAAACTTAAGATTTAATTCCACTGAGGTTCAGTAAGTTTCCAGTGCCAGTTCATCATACAGAAAATTGCTTACCAGAAAAATCAGGATTAAGGCTACTGCAATCAAAACAGAACTATTTTTGTTGTGACAGGTCAGTAAAGATGCAATAACACAGTGACATTACAAGGCACTATATGTAACCCCAGTAACAAGCAGAGCACGTTGCTACTGAACCCGAGGAAAGCGGCAGGTGCCCCCGTGTTTGACAAAACGGAGGTGTCAGGCAGCGCTCGATGAGTGAAAACCGGACAAGGGACTACTGTAAAAACCCTTTATTGCCGTGACACGTTCGCCACGCTCCTTCCCACCCGCGCCCCACGGTCGAACGAGCCGCGCCAGGCTCCATCCCCCGATGGACGATACGGCAGCAGGGGCGGCCCCGGGTCCCGCTCAGCGCAGCCGCCGGGCCTCGCGCTCCGACTCCAGCAGGGTGAGAACGTCGCCCTCGCGCACCGGCCCCTTCACGTTACGGATGATGGAGCGGCTCGTGTCGTCCATGAACTCCACGCGCACCTGCGGAGCGGGACCGCGTCAGCCTGGCCGGGCCCGGACCGCGACACAGCGCCCGCTCTGCCCGGCCCGCTCACCTGAGTGCACTGCCCCTGAGAGCCGGTCCGGCCCAGCACCTTGGTGACCTGCGGGGACACAGTAGAGGGTCAGCGCGATGCCGCGGCCCGGCGCAGCCCAGCCCGGCCCGGCCCAGCCCCGCGTACCCACCCTGGCCAGCTTGATGGGCTGCACGCGACTCGTGTCCATGGCGGCTCCGGGCTGCGGAAAGAGGCGGCGCCTTCCCGCGTAGCCTTATATAGCTCCAAATCTCGCGAGACCCAGCGTTCCGCGCGCGCTCCCGGACCGGCGCCCCCTGCACCCCTGCCCTTCGTCGCGGCCAAGATGGCGACGGCAACTAGTCTGATCCGGCGGCTCCGCAACTTCCTGGCGGGGGTAAGTACAACCCTGGGCTCGGGGCTCTTCTGCCCGCGGGACGCTGCGCTGCGCCCCCGGCTCCGCGGAGCCCCCAGCGCCGGGTGGCAGCCCCGCCTGAGCTGCTCTGGCCTTGCCTTGCAGCGGGATCTCCAGGCGAAGCTGCAGCTGCGCTACGAGGAGATCGCTAAGAGGTGCCGGGGCCGGGGCGGGCGGGGCGGGGCACTGAGTCGCCCCCACCCCGGCCCCGCCGCTGACACTTGCGTCGTTCTCTGCCTAGGACCCAGCCGCCGCCGCGGCTCCCGGTGGGCCCCAGCCACAAATTCGCCGATAACTATTACTGCAACCGGGACGGGCGCCGAGAGTCGCTGCCGCCCCTGGTGGTGGCGGCGGCGCAGAGAACACTGCCGGCGGGGGCACAAGCCGGCGGGTAGGTCTGATGCAGGCGGTGCTGTGCCGCTGCCGCTGCCGAGTGCGGTCAGCCGTGGTCCCGATTTGTACCAGGAACACAGAACGCGCCCAGGCGGCAGTGGGGAGTTACCCAGATTGGCAGAAGAATATGGAATTGATTATTCGGATGTATATTTCCTTGCAAATAAGTGAGGTGGGATGAAGTTCACTTACTCTGCTTTGGTGAGCTCTCACCTGGTGCATCTGTGTCCAGCTCTGGGGCCTCCAAGAAAGGACCTGTTGCAATGAGTCCAAAGGAAACGACAGAGATGCTCCGAGGGCTGGAGCCAGGCCGGAAGAGCTGGAGGTGTTCATCTGGAAAAGAGAAGGCACCAGGGAGAGCTCAGAGCCCCCTCCAGGGCCTAAAGGGGCTCCAGGAGAGCTGGAGAGGGACTGGGGACAAGGCCTGGAGGGACAGGACACAGGGAATGGCTCCCACTGCCAGAGGGCAGGGCTGGATGGGATATTGGGAAGAAGTTCTTGGCTGTGAGGGTGGTGGGGCCCTGGTACAGATTGCCCAGAGCAGCTGTGGTTGCTCCATCCCTGGAAGTGTTCAAGGTTGGAAAGGGCTTGGAGCCACTTGGGATGCTCTGCCCATGGCAGGAGCTAGAACAAGGTGGGCTTTAAAGTTCCACCAAACCCAAAACATTCTGGGACTCTGATTAACAAACACTTGCAGCCTAGACTTTTGATTAAATTCGTGTGGTTTCCAGAGTGTTGCTAAAGCCTCTTCTTGCTCCTCCTTTCTCTACCCCAGTTCAGGTGCTGCAGTGACAACAACAGCAAAGAAACCAGTGACACCAGGACCACCGCTTAGGAAGTGGGAAATTTCCAAGGATGAGCCCTACTTGTGAGCAGGGAGTGAGCTGAGGCTGTATGATGGGCACAGGTGGTTCCAGAGCAGCTCTGATGGGGAGGCTGTGCTGGATGTGGCTCCAGGCTGCTGGAGGGAGCTGATGTCTGATTAATAAATGTATATAAAACAGTGATTACTCCCCCCATTTTGCCTATTTTGTTTGATTTATTCGAGTTGCTGCTGTTTAATACCAGTGTATTTGGTTGGCTGGAATAGTGACAAAGCACAGGTGTATTTGTAAGCTGTAGACAGTCAATAAAGAGCAAAGCTGAATAAAGCACAGCCTCGTTCACAGGGCTGCCCCGTGCCCAGGTTCTGTGAGAAAAATTCAGCAGCCTGGGACATGCCGTCCGTGACCAGTGCCACTGTCCTTCTGTGACCACACCCTGCTCGATCCAGCAGAGCGCTGTCCAACCCCTCCCCGGGGACAGCAGGTCAGTGCCGACCGCAGTGCTGATGGATTTCCAGGGAGCTGCGGGAGCGCCCGGTTGTTCCCGCAGCTGGGAAGGGGCCGGGCCGGCCCTGGCGGGAACCGGCACGAGCGCGGGGCCGGCTCTGCTGCTGCCAGGACCGCCTCCGGTCACGTGACACCGGCCCGGGCCCCGCCCCGGAGTGCACGGGAGGTGGGGGGGCCTCCTCAAGGGCCCACGCTCCGCCCTCGCGAGAACCCCATTGGTGGAAGTCGGGATTGAGCGCACGCGCTTTTCCTGCGCGCTCTGACTTTGTAGCGGCGCGGCGGCCCCAGCGCGTCCCTCCGGTGCGGGCCCGCGGCATGGCCGGGCCGCGATTGCTGCCACCGGGGCTCCCGGTGCTGCTGCTGGTGCTGCCGGTGCTGCCGCTCCCGGTGCTGCCGCTCCCGCCGCTCCCGCCAGGCACCGGTAAGCTGGGGGAGCGGCCGGCCGGGCGGTGCCCATTGGTTCCCCGCGCACGCCCTTCGCTCTCATTGGCTGCCGCCCTCGTGCGCCCCGCGCGCGGGGTGTCCTCGCTGTGGGGCGTGCGAGGGCTCCCCACGGCGGGCCCCCCTCGGCCTCCCCTCACGCGCCCGTCCCCCGCAGCTGCCCCGTCCCACTGCGGCCCGGAGCAGTTCCAGTGCGCGCCCGGCGCCCCCTGCTTCCCCCAGGACTGGCGCTGCGACGGCCACCCCGACTGTGAGGACGGCGGGGACGAGTGGGACTGCGGGACCGCGACCGCGGCGGAGCCGAGTCCCGGCGGCCCCGTGGTGACCTCGTCTAGGAGCTCGGCGGTGCCGCCCGCCAGCAGCGCAGGTACGGGGCCGCGGGGTGCGGGCAGCGGCGGCCTGGGGGCGGGGGCGACAAACCGGACCGAAGCCTTTGTTCCGTCTCTGGCCTATCCGGGGCAGCTGCGGTCACCGCGGGTCACTGTGAGTAGAGGAAGCGCTATGGGGGACACGCACCTTCAGCTTCCTCTGGTGGGGGTGGCGATGCCGTCCCCCAGGGCTCCCTCGGGAAGGGCCTTTGAAGTACTTCCTTCCTTTTTCCAGAACGTGTAATTCCCAGCAGCTGCTTCGAGAAGACACTGGAATCTCTCCACCTCCCGAGCTCCTCTGATCTCTGGGGAATGGGCAGGCTGAAGGGAAGAGGATGAGGAGGAAGTTCTAGGCCATCACAGCTGGCCAGGAGCTACAGACACAGTGTTTGGGCTTGTGTCCGGCTGTGTCTACACCCCACTACTGGTGGGACCAGAGCTACTTGGCTCAGCAGCATCCTTTGTCAGACCTATTGGCTTTCTGGGGTGCTTGGGAGGGTGCTTCTGGCTTCCCTCACCCAGAGGTTTCCAAGGGTGTGGAGAGGAGGGGGATTACTGCAGGTGTGAGAGTCTGGATTTGGGTTTGATGCCTGCACCTGTTCAATTGACAGGTGAGGTGAAGAGCTGCATTTTGGTTGTACCTGTGGCTTCTCAGTGCCGCGAGGACAGGTTGGCATGATGCAGTTCCAGCTCCAGCTGGGAAATTTCCCACCTTTCCCTGTTACACATTTCCAGTAGGACTTTTTTCCTCCAGTGTGGGTTAATCACAGTAGCGGCAGATAAGGTTTCACTTAAGTTGAACAAGGCCTCTTGGTACTCTTGAGGTGAGCTGGGAACTCATCCAGCTGTGGATTGAAGACTGCTTTGAGTGCTGACCATAAGGTGAGTTGGAAGCCTCATGGACTTGTTTCTCTTTCCTCACAGAGCCTTCAGTTACACCTGAGCCTGAGGTCTCTGTGCCATCAAGGAGTCCAGGTTACACATGGATCTTGATTGTTGCAGGTACATGAGATTCAAGAGTGCAGCACATGGTCTTGGACCTACTTACCTTGGGCTATAAATTGAGTGTCCTGATGGGGTCAATTCCAGACCTATATCAGTAGCTGCTTTTGTTGGGCTGGGAGGGCTAAGGGAGGCCTGACACCACACATTAATTGTTGCTCTGCCTTCGATGTGTCGTATCCTTGAAAAGGCCATTCTATGCGATCTGGCACTAGGTCACCTCCTGTCTGTCTGTCCCTTGCCCTTGAGGGACACTGCTCATCTGTGGTTGCTGCCTCATGGTGTTGAGCAGCAGAGCCCTCTCCCAAGACCAGGGCAGTGAGTGGGTCTCTGCATGTGCACTCTCCTCTCCAGAGCTCCTGATTATCCTGGTAGCTGCAGGTTCTGTTGCTGTGTGGGGTCTGTCCAAAGCAAAATGCAGATCTGACACCTTCAGTCTTGAAAAAGCATCCAGGGAACAGCTGATGCCTGACAAGAGCCAGAAAGGCTCCTTGCCCTGAAGGGTAAGTGTTTTGCATCCCATGTGCTCCATGTGCCTGAGGGAGAAGTTCCTTCTTGCCCTATGTTTCTGGCAAGAAATTTCTAGAGCTTTCCCCTTTGGGTGTAGGTTTTCCCAGCTTCCCTGGTGCTTGCCAAGCAGATGCCTGGGGTTTCAGTCTGCCCTGCAGCAGCAGAACTCTCCCCTTTCATCCCTGATGCCAAGGACATGGAGCAGTCCTGCTGAGATACTGATCTTCTGGTGTGGGATTTTTTTCCTCCACTTTGCATAAATTGAAGTCAAACTAGGTTTCTTCCCAAAGGACTGTCAATAACCAGGTGTTTTCCTGGCTTTGTAACAGGGACCCTTATTCCAAGGTGCGACTAGCCCGGTCTGTCTCCTGCTCACCACAGCCTGACTGAATTGGACATCAACTCTCAAATCTGGGTTGTTACACTGGAATACCAAGAAGATGCTCCCTTTGTAAATGAGTTTTAGATTGTGGGACTGCCTTGGCTCCAGAAATAGCACAGGACCTCCCCTGACGCTGTGACATTAGCCCTCCCAAAGGTGGTAGGAATGTCTCCATTGCACTGCATGACAGTTGTTACTGCTGATGCCCACCACCATGGCCTCGGGCCCGAAGATGTTTTTCTCCTTGAAATGCCAGGTGCTGTTCAGCTGTCTCCTTCCACTTCCAGCCAAGAGCCTTTTTTCATCTGCCCCATTCTTTCTCCTGGATTTTGTCAGGAAACAGGAGCTTTCTCACCTATTTCCATAGGTACTCCCTGGCTGCACAGATCAGACAAATACTCCATGTTTGCACTACTGTTTGATGCTGCTCAGTCCCATGCATGGGAGGCCTTTACTGACAGTGCCACCATGAGGGTGACAGTTGCTCTGGCTTTGCTGTGCTGTTACCTGAGCCCGCATGGGGCAAGGAACTCCTCGGCCCTGGACTGGCAGCTCCTCTCACACTCCTTTCCACAAACATCTCCACCCTTGGCAGACCTGCTCTGCCCACCCCAGTGCTGAGTGCTGCATTGGGCTCCTCTCAACACTCTCAATGGTGTCTTCCTTAAAACTGTTCTGACATGAGTGATGTCCCTTGAGGGTCGGTACTGGGACCAGTGCTATTCCATGTTTTTATCAGTGATGTGTAGAGTGGGATCAAGTGGACCCTCAGCCAGTCTGAGGATGAGACTGGGCTGAGGAGTGCAGCTGGGGAGGGGGATGTCATCCAGAGGGGTCTTCAGGCCCACAGGAATCTCATGAAGTTCGATAAGGTCAAGTGCAAGGTCCTGCACCTTTGTTAGGGCAAACCCTGGAGAAGAGATGGCTCCAGGGAGCCTTGTTGTGTCTTGTCCATGTCTGAAGGGGAATTGTAAGAAAGATGGAGAGGGGTTTTTCACCAAGGCCTGTTAAGGACAAGGGGCAACAGATACAAACTGACAGAGGTTTAGGTAGGACATGAAGGAGGATTTTATGGTGAGGTCCTGGCACAGGTTGCCCAGAGCAGTTGTGACTGCCCCATCCCTGGGACCAAGCTGGACAGGGCTCTGAGCATCTTGGTCTAGTGGAGGTGTCCCTGGAAATAAGTCATGTCTTTGGTCTGACACTGTGTGGCACGTGGAGTCCCAGCCAAAGGACTCAGTGCTGCGCAGCTCTCAGAACTGACTGTGCAGGGGCAGATTAGTGCCCAGTGCCTCTAGTTCAGCATTGGCCACGTGCACCTTGCACAAGTGTTCACTAAGTGTGCCAAGCTGCTGCCTTGGCTGCTGACCTCTGTGCCTTGAAGGTGGGAACTTGGCTTGCCAAGCAGATACCAGTCATAAATCTTGGAGTAGGAGTCTTCCGCTCCTGGATAGCGTGTGAGTGCTGCCATACCCCATGAGAGAAACTTCTATATGTGGTGTGGAGTCCTGAGTTATTCCAGGGCTGCTATTTTTAGTACCAAGGAGTCATTTGCAAGGGCACACACAACCTTCTGTTTCCATAGGGGCAGGCAGAAATAGCTGTGGTGACTGACACAGGAGAATAAAAAATGTGAATTAACAAGTTCTGGAGTCTTTATTTTTCCTGGATATGTGCATTTGCATGGATTCTGTATCTAGGAGGACATCACCTTTGGATGGTCACATCTTGGGAAAGAAGACTTGGTGTGGGTGGGCTGGCCTGGGATGCTGTGGGGAAGTCAGTGCTGCTGTGCTTTCCCGGGACAGATGATACTCCAGCACACACCAGCTATAGCAGACAAAATTAAATACAGGATCAAAGCAAACAGAGAGGGTGGGGACAGGAGAAACAGATGCCACAGTAGCACCAGAGGTGCTACTGCTGACCCAGGAACAAGTGGGGAGTTCAGCCAAAAGCAAGGTGAAAAAAATGCCTGAACTTGTCCTTTCTTTGCCAGAGCAGAGTACAAAGTGGGGAGCACTCCAGGAAGGGCTCCAGGAGTGGAGTGGGAAGGGCTCCAGGAGTGGAGTGGGAAGGGCTCCAGGAGTCCTGACAGGACAGGGCTGAGCTGGGGCCAGTTGAAGCGCTGGTGCTGGCAGGGCCACATGGCCAAGGTCAACTGTCACCAGCCAGTCCCAGATCATACCGTGAGCTTCAGCTGCCAAGCTGAGCCTGCCTGTTCTGTGGTACAAGGCACAGTGCTTGCTCTGTGTGATGGGGAGTGAGGGCCTGGGGCAAATTCACAAGACATTGCAGGTTTTGCTTTCTGCTCCCTGAGTGCTTCAGGGTTCAAAGAAATACATTTCATGGATCTTGTGCCAAAACTTTGGGCTGTGTTTCTGACAGCAATTTCCCTTCCTCTGTCCAGTGCTAGAAGTGTTTTTGTTGTTCTAATCTCCAAGCTCAGGGGCTTCACTTGTAGTGGAGCTTGAGCTGCTTTTCAAGCCAGGAGCATCTTTGTGCTTCACATCTCTATATTTAATTAGACCAGTTCATGGAGATCAATATGATGTTTTACATGTTGAAGTAGGATCCTCTTCCATGGTAAGACCTCAAAAATCAGCCTGTTTAATTTTGGTTCCCCTTCTACTTGCAAATCAAAGGATTATTTCCTCCTTTTCAGTTCCAATAGTTCGGAGGAACTATTACTGTCTACTTGTATTTTCAGTGTTCCCTGTTCCTGCCCCTGCCTGGGTGCGTAGCGGGGCTGAAGGCACAGGGCAGGGGCACAGAGCAGCCTGTCCCTCAGGGGACCTTCTTGCTCACTGTGTAGGGGTGGTTCCTTCACCTCATCCGCTCTAAATCTGCACTGTGGGCCTTGAGGGATGAGCTGAGAGGTCATGACCATCTCCCCTCCCCGGCTGTGACAGCTGACAGCCGGGCCAGCTGCATTAGCCTTTAACGAAAGGCTGGTGCCAAGAGCAGCATCTGGTGTGGGGGTACAAAGACAATACAAACCCTGCATGTCTGCACCTTCCTGTCCCATCAACAAAGGGTAAATCGAGGCAAGCTTGTGCTGTTTCCAGTTTGCTGTCATGGATGTCCTTCCAGGAAACAGCATGCAGCAAATGCAAACAGCTAATAAGAACAGAATAAGGGAAAAGAGAAGTGCAGAGCTAGAAATAGTTCCTTACATAAAGGACTAGTGCCTCAATCTCATTAGTGTCTTAAGGAGCGGGCACTTGGCCGCCTCTGACTGCTACGATGCAAACCCCAATCTGATCAGCAATCGGCTTTGGGACCCCGGCAGGTGCCACGTGGCACCAGGACACAGCTGTGCCCCTCAGGCAGCCACTCCACTGCCCCGAGCTCACAGCACTTGTCCTAGTCAGTGTGTGCCCAGTGGGAGCATTCCCATGAAGCCAGAGCTGCTGTCCTGCTGCCCATAACAGGAGTCACCGCTTCAGAAGGCTGGGCACCATGAGGCAACAATGGACCAGGCGCGCGAGTCTCTCGGCCAGCCTGAAGATAGGGGATCACCGAGGCCACTGCCGGACCCCGGAGGAACAGGAATCCTACATCCCATTTGCACAGGACAGCCTGGTAAGGCAATGGAACTCCATGCAGAACGTGGCAGATAGTAACCAGGAGAAGAGCCAGACTCCTATCCAAAGGAACAAGTACCTGCTCAACATTAATGTGGGTGGCAAATTGTTCCAGATAGCTTACAAGGTACTGGCCCGGTATCCCATCACCCGGCTTGGGAAGCTGGCCCTCCATACAGATCCTGTGAAGAAGCTGCAGCTTTGTGATGACTACTTGGTGCAGAAGAATGAGTACTTCTTTGACAGAGATCCTTCAATTTTCCACTACATTTTCCATTTCTACCGCAGTGGGGTCCTGTGGGTGATGGATGAAATGTGCCCCAGTAACTTTGTGGAGGAAATTGAGTACTGGGGAATCCATCTGAAATACTCCCAACGCTGCTGCCGGAGCCTGTTCGAGGAAAAGCGAGATGAACTCAGTGAGTACCTGAAAATAGAGAAGGAGCTGGAGGCAGAACTGGAGCCCCTGGAGTCAGGGGCGCAGTTTGATGGCAAATTTCTGGGTCGGTTTCGGAAAATGGTCTGGAACCTCATTGAGAATCCATACTCTTCTGTCCCAGCCAAGATAATTGCTGTCATGTCGAGCTTCTTTGTGCTTATCTCCATTGTGGGCATGACACTGAGCACAGTGGAGGAGATGAAAAACAAGACAGGGAAAATGTGGATGGAGCAGATGGAAATGATCTGTGCCATCTTCTTCACCTTTGAATACCTCATGCGGCTCATATCCTCCTCCAGCTTCAAGAACTTCCTGCGGGCAGCATTTAATGCTATAGACCTGGTGGCCATCCTGCCCTTCTACATCCAGATCCTCTTTGAAAATCTGGATGATGGAGACATGCAGTACCATGAGGAGCTGCACAAGATGGAGAATGTGAGCAAACTGGGCAAAGTCCTCAAGCTCATCAAGCTCATGAGGATCTTCCGCATCCTCAAGCTGGCACGTCACTCCACTGGCCTCCGAGCCTTCAGCTTCACCATGCGCCAATGCTACCAGCAGGTTTGCTGCCTCCTCCTCTTCATTGCCATGGGGGTCTTCACCTTCTCCGCTCTCATACACTCGGTGGAACATGATGTTCCTGGCACCGACTTCACCAGTATCCCCTGCGCATGGTGGTGGGCAGCGGTAAGGTGTGAGCAGCTTCTTCCAGAGGGGCGTGGAGGAGGCTCTGTGGGTAGGGGCTGCCCTGGTGCTTAGGGGATTCACCACTGCTGCTGGCCAGGAGGCAGGAAGGGCCCAGCCTTCCCTCCAGCTCAGTAATGGTGGGAAACTCAGAGCCCTGCATGTTCTGAGGAAAGAAATCAGAGGTTTGGACTGACCTGAGAGGCTCAAAATCTGGTCCTGGGATGGGATGGTGGGACAGAGGTGGTGGCTTGGGTACTTCCAGGCCTGACTTGAACAAAGGGGATGTGACTCAGCTTTATCTGTCATGGGACCCATGTGTTGAGTGGGTGCAGCCTGTGGGCATGGGGTCAGCCACCTTGGACAGCCTGAGACCTGGGCAGCACTGCAGCCCTGCTGAGCTCGAGAGGCACAAGAGCTTGTGGGTCTGAGATGGGGAACCCAGGGCTGCATGTGGGACCCATAGTCACACTGTGCCTCAGCCCGTGGACACAGACTGGGGTGTGCTGCCCGCTCGCTGCCCTGCTTGTGCCAGGAGCCAGCAGCTCTGCAGAGCTGAGCACTATAATAAACCTGGCATTGCCTCTGAGATGGGGAGCAGCTAAAGCACGAGAGCCAAGGGTTATGAGGGCATTTTGATTTACAGATGAAATTATCCCACAGATCACTTCTGCTCTTATAATACCCTTTGGCCACCAAAGGCTATCTGCTTCAAATTCATCCCTCCTCAAGGAGGAGCAAAATCAGTAACACCACTATGTTCAAGTGCTTCAACATCCCAGGCTTAGCCTGTCCCTGGGAGCACAGCTCCCTGCCAAGCCCAAACCTCTCTGGCCTCAGCTGCTCACCCTGTCCCCATAGCGCTGCTCCCCATTTACTAAACATGGTTCATTCCCAGGCAATGCCTCTGTTTTCCATGGAGGGGAAAGCTCCAGGAAGGTATCCCTCCAGGAAGCTTTGTCTGGGAACAGGCAGCTTGCAGTCAGGAAGCTCTGGAGCCACAGCTCTGAGGGGGAAGGAAGCTCCAGCAGACACCGACTGCTGGGGAAGGCTCAGCTCAGGGGTGTCCAGCTGCCTTTGAAGAGACACACACAAAGCAGTAAGGGAGCAGGGTCTGGCCTTTGATCTGTGCTTCTGGGGCTCAGCCAGCCCTTCAGCTCTCCAGGCCTGCTGAACACAGCCTGGACAGTGACGCCCTGGCTTTGCAGGCTCTGGAGAGGGCACAGCTCAGCTGGCTGCTCTCAGGGTCAGGGTCTGGCACTGGTCACAAGGGACAGGTGGCTCCACAGAGGGCAGGAGGGAGTGAGTTCCAGCACCAGCCAGTGGGGTCTGCTGGGCTTGTTTCCATGGGGTTTTATACTTTTCTGTTCCTGCACAGGTCAGCCTCTCCACTGTGGGCTACGGAGACACTGTGCCTGACACAGTACTCGGCAGGATGGTGGCATTTGTCTGCATCTCCTTTGGCATCATCCTCAATGGAATGCCCATCTCCATCCTCTACAACAAATTTTCTGACTACTATGCCAAGCTGAAGGCTCATGAGATGAGCCAGTCACTTCACCTTTCCAGGAGGATCCGCTTGAAGGAGCGAGTCCTGCAGAAGTTCTCAGAGTGCTGGAGAGCTGACCCCCGCTATTACCACTGACACAGGCTCCCCACCCCGCAGACATTCCCTGTCCCCTGGCCATGCTCACAGTAGGTTCTGTCCCCCAGGGAGGCTCTGAGCTATGGGCAGAGTCCCAACAGTGCTGGGGCTCTGCTGTTGCACAGGAGCTGCTGCCAGCTGGGACCTCCCTTACTGCTGTGTGTCAGACACTGCTGTCCCACAAAGCAGCCAGTCACAGGTGGCTTGGGAGCTGTATGGCCAGGGCAGGAGGTTTGTCTGCCACAGGCTGAGGCAAAGGGCACTCTGACATCACAGGGAGTGAGGGATGGGACTGAACTGTCACCTGTCCAAGGCAGGTAGCCCAGTGTGACACGTGTGCAGGTGCTGCTCTGTTCCCCACTGAGTGGGACACACACAGGCTCCCCCTGCCCAGGGCCCAGTGACTCCCTCCCAGCCAAGCAGCCCAGGCCTAGTCAAGTGTGGGGATTTGGGTGAAGGCCCAGAGGAAAGGCTACAGCCATGCATCCTTCCAGCTAAATCTGTTCTTCTTCTCACTACCCTGGAGTCTGGGGCACAGTCCTGACTTGGGATGCTGTTGTGATGGACCCACAGGCACTATAGGCATACAGGGCTTGTAGCCAGAGCACCCTCAGGAAAAGGCATTTAACAAACCAGGCCCAAAACTTCATTGTCCTGCATTCTTGTCCAGCCAACTGTGTGTCATTCAGTAAACTTCTCATCATTTGGAGTGAGGAGGGGACATCTCCTCAAAGCTCACAAGTCCATCAATGCAAGGACGGGGCTCTCAGGGATCCAGATGAGCCTGTCCATGCATTAGTTTTGGAATGAGGTGCCTGGGCCTGGGTGCATTGGAACTGAAGCTGGGACATGCATATGATCAGGACACACCAGCTGGGTCTGCCCTGTGTTCACATCATGGGAGGCAGTGGGGGGGACATGTCTGGGGGGCAGAGGGGAAGGATTTACCCTCCAGCATGGGACCATGTCCAGTCAATGGGCCTCCTGAAGGGATACACCCTTCCTTTGGGTGAGATGGAGAGAGGGATCTCGGGCTGCAGGGAGGATTGGTGTGGGGGTCAACAGCTGCTGGTGCTATTTCCAGGTGAGCAGGGGGAAGAAACTGCTGCCAGCCAGGCTAGGGTGCGATTCACTTACTTGTGAGCAGGACTTGGAGATGCAGAGGTGCCACAGGACCCCTGGTGTCAGTCTTGGACTGTGGCTAAGCTGCTGATGTTGGAAACTTGGGAAGAGACTTGGGGGAGCTGAGTCCTCTGGCAGGGACAGCCATACTCCCACTGAGAGCTGGACTGCAGGGGGCAAGGGGGCTGTGCCAGCAGGTGTGAGAGGACCCCTACCCTGACCACCAACACCTACACCCACTCCCTAGTAACCCACATTTGACACCTGCCCTCTGTACACCTCCCCAGCACTGACCTGAACCCACAGCGTTGGGCAGCCCTGGTTTCCACCCCATTTTTCTCTCTGTTCTCAGAGAGAACATTCTCTCTGAGCACAGCATTTTCCTCTGACCATCTTTCCCCAGAGCTCTCCTGCCCCACTGTCCAGGTTTCAGCTGCAATAGAGTTCATTTTCTCCCCAGTGGCTGGTACAACACTGTATTTTAGATTGAGTGTGAGAATAATCTTGATCACACACTGATCTCCCAGCGGCTGATTGCTGCTAAGAGACAGGCTGGGCACAGATCAGTGGGTGCTGAGCAATTGGGTATTGGGCATCACTTGTCTGTCTTGGGGTTTATCATTCCCTCCTTTTGGTGTCTCCCTTTTCATTACAAATATTATTAAATATTACCATATTTTATTTTATTTCATTTCCATTATTGAACTTTCCTTATCTCAACCCACAGGTTTTACCTCTTCTGATTCTCCTCCCCATCCCACTGGGGTGGAGGGGGAGGCCAGTGGCTGTGTGATGCTTAGTTGCGATCTGGGGTTAAACCACGACAGCCACTGCCCCAGCAGCATCAGCTCCAGGCACCCCTATAGACACCCCTGTCCCACCCCAGACCCCATCACCACATTCCCCCAAGTACCCCCATTGCCTGCTCATCTCCCTGCACCCCCAGTTGCAGGCTGATGGATCCTGAGACCATCCAGCTTTCAAGGAATGGGGCACACCAACCTCATCCCCTTGCCCCTGGAGACTGCGCTGCAGCTGGATCTCCATCCCTCCATGTGCACCCCCTTCCCTGTGCCTGCAAGATGTCTGCTTGTCCTGTTCATGGCAGCAATTCAGAGTCCACAGGCAGCTTTTGGAGAATGGCATGTTTAAATAGTTGCTCTGAATTAATTTTACAAGTCACAGCAATGCAGGAATGTACGGACATTTACAGGACACTGTACAGGCGGTATCTGTCATATATTAGTGCTCTTGCTATATACATATAGTACAGCCTGCAGGAGCCTCTGCATGGGCTGGGACACCCATGCACCTGCACAGAGCACCCCAAAACAGAGCTGCAGCCCTGTGGCTACTGGTTCACACGGGCTCCTTCAAGTTGATTTAATCAGAGCTTGGCCCTGAGCCTTCCTGGGCTGGCCCTGTCAGGGAGTGACACCATCCAGGGCAGACCCTTGCTTTGCTCTGTTTTATAGGGTTTATGGGACAGAGACCTCACTGATGCTCTGGAGGGAGCAGCCTCCACTGCAGCGGTGATTCCAGCCCCCTTCTCCTGCCTCAGTGGCAGCCACAGCTCCCGGCCACCATGTCATTGTACTGCTTGAGGACCACATTCTCGTCATCATCAAAGTAGAGGAGGTTGATGGAGTTGAGCTTGTCAGGCACACAGCAGGGGCTGCTGACACCCTCACTCAGCTTCAGGGCATTGATGATGGACTGCACTGTGGCATGGTTTGTCGGCCGCATGTTCTCGCCCAGAGGAAAGGGGCAGGAGCCTTTGCAGTGGAAGGCATTGTACCCCCGTGGTGAGATGATCCAGCCAGACCAGCCAATCTCCTCGAAGTCCACAGACAATGGGTACCTCTGGCAGGACTGGAGCCGGTCCAGCGAGCGTGTACTGCGTGATCTGCCCAGCTTGGGCACTGGCATCTTGGCAGGGAGATCGGGAGCCTGAGGCTTTAAATCTGTCAGAAAGAGCATCCAATGCCATTGGCTATTGCATGAGCCTGGGTGAAGGAAGAAAATACTGCAGCACCCCCCCCACCCCTGGCCATCCCTCCCCACAGGTTTTGTCTGCAACCTCTGGTCACAGCCTGTCACCAGGTCAGACAGAGCCACCAGAAGGTGACAGCCTCAGTCTCACACCAAACTCAAATCCAGCTACACATCTGTAAGCAGGCAACACCCCTGAGTGGGCTACACCAGAAATGAGAGAACCTCTCCTACCAGCCAGGGAAGGGGGTTTGGATTTGAGGAGTCCACACGTGGGGATGGGGAGTACCCCCTGGGGAAGGGATGTTGGCACCGAGGGAGTTGTGCCAGGCGTATGGGACTCACCTGGGAAGCCAGCTGTGGGCAGCAACGCTCCACGGCGCCCATCATCCGTGAAAAGGACCAACATGGGCTTCTTGCTCTCGTGGTGGCCCCTGCCAGATGCAAACTGCAGTGGTGGGGGGTCGAGCGGGTTCTCACCTGGGCTCTGGATTGTCACCAGCAAACCCTGGTTTCTGCTTTCATCTTCAGTCCAGTCACGAACCTGGGGAACCAAACCAGTGTCATGGTGGACCAGGACAGGCACTGCACTGGTGTCCTCACAGGCAGGTCCCAGGCCAGCAGCAGGACATGGTGAACTGGGACCCCTTGAGGCCACACTCTGTGTGCCATGAGAAGGGGTTGCTCCGGGGCTGCAGCACAGGGGACACTGGCAGGAGCCAGCACCAGAACTCCCTGCAGAGCAGTGAGACAAGTTTGGGGAAGGATGAAGCAGCTCCTGGGGCTCTTGGCATGACTTTTTCTTCCCCCTCCCAGAGGATGCATCTCCCCATGTCACTGCAGAGACTGCAGACAGGAAACTACACTGGAGCCTGAAAGGCTTCTGAGGGTGAAATGGGTTTAAAAACCTCCTGCATGTGAACCCCAGGATCCTCTCTGTGCTGCCCAAAACAGAGGAAAAGTGACTCACAGCCGATGTGATGGCAAAGATCTCCCAGCCCGAGGTTTGCAGTGAGACGGTCCGTGCTACTAGCAGCTTCTTCCCTCCAGAGGTGTCTGGCTTGTCTTTCTCCAGCACCTGGTACACATTGACCTGGGGAAGGCAAAGGTGGTCACCCCTTTATTCTGCCTGAGGGGTTGACCCTGGACAGAGGTATGGGGGGAGATGGGGAATTGTCAGCATGGATCTGCAACAACCTTGGTGTGTCTTTGCTGATGTTTGCACAAGCCAGAAGGATATTTAAGAACCTGCCACAGTTAAATCATTATGATTCTCTGTGAAACATTTGTTCATGTGATACTAGAGCCAGGTCATGTTCCCACTGCAGGCAAATGACCACAGTGTGCCAGTGGCATCCCTGGGCACAGGCTGGGGGACAGCCCCATCTCTATCCTCATCCCCCTCCTCACCTGGCAGAAGTGGTGCCTTTTGGGCCTATCTGTGACCCTCTGCCAGAGGCGGAAGAGGTGCAGCTCTGCCATCAGGATCTTCTCATTCTTGGCCACGCTGGAGAGGACAAACAGGAACCGCATCTCCTCACTGTGAGCTGGAAAGAAGAAGGATGCATTGAAAAGAGCAAAAACAGGGGTGGCAGCACCACCAACCACATTCAGCCCCTCCCCAGAGCCGCATCCCAGTACCACAGGGAACCCCCCCACCCTTACTTTTATCCAGGAAGCTGCGGACGGTGTTGCCCTTCAGGACGTCAGGGTTCTTGGTGACGCCATCCGCATTGGCAACAGTGTTGAACAGATCCACCATGTACTGGGGTGGCCGCTTGAAGTGAGTTGGGGGGGCCGGAGGGTCTTCCATGCCAAAGACTTCCAGGAGTTTCTTCAGCGCCTCAGCCCGCCGGCTCACCAAGCTGGCTGGGCTCGGGCATCCCGTCTTGGCCAGGGCCAGCAGCAGCAGGACAGTCCCCAGCATGGCTCTGTGCTCCCTGTCCCACACAACTCCCCCGGCCTCCCCGGTGCTGCATTTATAACTCACTAGAAAGCTGGACTGGAGTAAAATATGCACAGGAGCAATCAGGAGGGTAAAGAGAGTTAATTGCCATGCTAACAAGGTGAGAAGCCTGGCTCCCGGGCCCCCTGCATCAATTAGCCCCAGTACACAAGCGGGAAGGAGGACGGCTCACCAGGCACTCCCAGGGCTGGCAGGGGAAACGGGGGTCTCGGGCCACCAGCCCCTTGCAGGGTCTTGGCTGAGCTGCATTTGCTCTCCGTAGGAGACTAACTGGATTTTAATGATGGCACTAATGGGACAAATCGGATGACTTTTGTGTGGAGGAATGCAGCCCATCAAGGTGAGCATCCCCTTCCCGTCCGGTCCAGTCACAGCAGCTCATGCTGCCCCTCTCGCAACCGCTGCTGAGAGCAAGGATCGTGGCGGGGGCTCAGTATCACACTGGTGTCCCTGCACCATGTTCCTGTCAGGTGTGCAGGGTGGGGTGCCCCGGGTCCCCAGTCTGCCATGGGGCAGAGCGGGTTCCAGCAGAGGACCCGGCAGTGCTGCAGCCCCAGGCTGTCACACTGCAGCAGCAGCACAGCACCCTAATCCAGCTTGCTTTTTACTACTACTACTACTACTATTACTATTATTACTATTATTATTATCATCATCATCATTATAAAAGGCTGTTGTCTTCCTGGGAATGAAAAGGCATTTGCTCCTAATTCCTGAATGCTTGAACTAAATGAAATATTCGGGCAGTGGGATAAAAGCCAATTCTTTAGGTCTTGTTCCCCAATCACAGAGAAACCAAGCTAGTGCAGGTGGACATGACACACTGCACAGCTGCCATGGGAATAAACGGAAAAAATTAGCATTAATTAACTAATTAATCAGGGCTGGAGCCCTGATAGGACCACCTCATGGGAGACAAGGTAAAGGCTAATGTCCAGCGGTGCCCACAGTTTATTCCAACCCAAAGGGTTGTTAATTATGCAGAACAGGCACGGTGGCACCGACAGGCTGGAGTTAATGGAGAGAGGAAATTATCTGTACCCCCGGGATCCTCTCCTTTCTCTCTCCAGCTCACCAGAAACACGTCCAAGATATCTGGGGGTGCCTGCAGAGACAGCTCTGCCCCAATATGCCCAGCTCCTGGTTCCCTCTCCTGTCTCCAGCTCCACGGTTTGTAACCTGGAGCAGCCAACCCGTGCACCCCCCAGCCTGTGCCAGACGGCTGCATCTTCCAGGGATGCTGGATGCAGAGGGGCCGTGGAGCTGCACAGTGGAGACCCAAGGACCTGCAAATTGCCCATGATGTTTATTTTACAAGCTGTAAAACATTTTGTAGAGGGTTCATTTATACCCGCTGGTTAAAGTAGCTTTTATACAAAAAACAGCCTTATCTCATTTACATATCCTACATACAGTCTGGCAGGGTCTCCAGGAGCCCCACCCGCACCTTCCAGCCCCGCTATCCCGGTACTTGCACTCCCAGATGGCAGTGACAGTGGGTCCGGAACCTGTGCATGTCATAGTCGTGAGGGCACAGTGTCTCGGGGCAGCTTGTGCCCAAAGCAGGCATTCCTCTCTGTCTTGTGACTCCCTGCAGTTAGAGAAAAAACAGCACATCCCTGGTACATCCCCAGTAGACTCCCAGTGCAGTCAAAGAAAAACCAGTATATCCCCAGTACATCCCCAGTACACCACCAGCCCCCTATATCCTGGACCTTCTGTTCACTTGGGAAAAGGGTAGTGCTCTGGAGTAGGATGAGAGAAGGAGGCAGCTTTTTTCCTGCAGCATCTAATCCTTACTCTTGGAGTAACTCGTGAACTGTCACCTCCCTCTGCCTGAACAGATCAGGTCTTTCTTCCTGCATGGTTTGATTTGCTTCCCTTTGCATGCAAAGAATCCCAGCATGGTTTGGGTTGGAAAGGACCTTAAAGCTCATCTCATCCCAACTCCTGCCATAGGCAGGGACACCTTCCACTATCCCAGGGTGCTCCAAGCACCAACCTTGCTTCCAACATGGCCTGGAATACACCCAGGGAAAAGGCAGCCCCAGCTGCTCTGGGTAACCTGTGCCATGGCCTCATCACCCTCCCAGCCAAGAATTTCTTCCCAATATCCCATCCAGCCCTGCCCTCTGGCAGTGGAAGCCATTCCCCCCTTGTCCATGTCCTTCCTGTGCTGGGGACCCATATTTTTATGTCTACAATCAACACATAGTCCTGCCCCTTCAGCCTGAAACAACTGCCTGGACACACACTGCCACAGCAACCCCCTACTTCCCCACAGCTTTGCCAGGAGGTGAGAGACAGGAGTGGCACATTCCAGGCTGTAGAAGCCACTGTCAGGATCTGTCTGCTGTCCTGGGACATCACAGGCTCTGTAACCACCTGCCGAATTCAGCCCCATCATGGCAGGTCTGGCTCTCCCTCCAGCACAGCACAGCATGGTGGGTGAGCTGGGGGTGCTACCCAAACCCTGCTCTGTGTGCCCCCAAACCCCGGGAGCCGCAGATGCCTTGGGTGAGAGGACCAGGGGCAGCTCCCACCTGGCCCGGGGTTTGGATATGCAGGTGGGAGAGCAGATGGAGCCTGGCAGCTGTGCTTACCTAAGCAAGCAGAGATCCCCCGAGGAGCAGCTGCCCAAGCACCTTCCCACACCGATTTCCTGCAAAGATTTGCAAAACAAAGGCACAAAAATCCCCTGCAGCACCTCAGCAGGGACACCCCAGGACTCTCCACCTTCCCTCCAGCCTCAGGCTCAGCATCCATCCCCAAAGAAGGGCAGCAGCAAGGCACAGCTGGTAAGAAATATTCTGGGGGCATAGCAGTAGTTTTTGAATCAGAGGTCCCTGTGTACGAAGGTATACTCAGCTTACTAGGCAGTAGGGTCTCTGCTGAACTGAAGACATACCTAACAACTAAATATTTTTTAAAATAAGTATCATTGTTCCTTAATTACTTTTTAAAATAAATCCTCAATCCAAATAAAAAGCCTTATGTTCCTTTATGGCTCTGATGTATGCATGAATTAGTGGCAGTAAAATACATTTTATATCATGAAAGAATATAAATGTGAGGTTTTTACCACTCTAGTTCGATGCTAGTGTGAAGCTGTTGATGTTAGAGCATCTACCCAGCAGCTCAGACCCCACATGAGGGCCCAGCTGAGCTCACCGGAGAGGAGCCAAACCCCTGGAAACCTACCTTGAGCTGTTCCTCCCTGTGTCCTGCACAGTTCTGGACAATTTCATAATAATATCCTACCTGGGAGACACGGTAGCATTTTTCCTTCATTTCGCAGTTCTGCAGTGTCTGAACCACCTCTCCACATGGGTTTTTGACCAGAACAGTGCTGAACTTTGTGGGCACACAGAAAAGTCCATCTACAAGGAATCAAGAAGGAAAATTAACTTGGAGCTGCACCCCAGATTCCTGCAGAAGCAGTACAGAACAACCAGCTTTTGGCATCTAGCACCCTCTGGAAAAGGCTGTTCTCTGTGTCAGGGTCCCAGCTGGGAGTTTGGGGCTCATTCCTTCACCAGTTCATGGCCTTAGTGGTAGGCTCTGTTCCTCCATCCCAGTTTGAGATCATGAGAAAACAGCAGTTATTGTGGGTTTAAGTTGTGACTGATGTCCCTGACCCTGTGAAAGCCCCAGTTCTGGGGAGTGAGCACCAGCCACTCCATGTTATCTCTGAGAAAAACTGTATTTGAACACAAAATATTGATGTCAGAACTTTTCCCAGAGCCACACTCTCACATCAGGGATGGGGGAATGTGATTTAGCATTTACTCATTCAGTATTTCCCTCTGGATTTGCCAGGGACTGTGCCCTTTATGGGCTTCTCAGATGCTGGAGCCAGCACTACAGGCTGTCCTGCAGACACATTCCCCAGGCACCTCCAAAGGGTGTGATCTGCACCAGGCTCCCCACAGGAACACCAGGTGTGGCATCTGCCACCTGGGATAGGGGAAAGAAGGGAAGGGAAGTTCAGGGAAGGGGAGAGGAGAGGAGGCAAGGTGAGGCGAGGCTGGCCCCAGTTCTGGGATGTGGGAGGAAGGGAGGCTGGTACCAGAGGGGTGGAAGAGGGAGGTGGACAATGGCCCCAGCTCTTGGGGTGCAGAACAAAATCCTGCTCTGCCTTTTCTTTCCCTATTCCAGCTTTAACTCAATGAAAATTCCCAGGGCACGAAGCAGTTCTGTCTGGATTTGAAATTCCTGGTTTGGTTGCAGAGAGCAGGGGGGAGGGGGGGTTGGTCCGGGTGGGCACACCGACAGCCACATCCCTGCTCCTGTGTCAGCACCACACCAGGACAAGCCACCGTGGCAGGTCCTGGATGGCCCAGGCAGGGGCTCAGCAACCAGAGAGAAGGGATAAAGCTCCTCCAGCTTCAACTACATCAACTTGGAAGGGCAGAGGCACAGACTGTCCTGCATCACAGTCTGAGCTACTGATCTGCGTGGAAAGAAACAATATTGTTTCTGTGCTAAATCTTCCAGCTTTTCTCCCCTCACCAAGTAAATTAGGGTTAAAAATCTCCATTGCATGACTAGAGGAAGGGGAGAAGGATGGCTGGGCTGATAGCCAAGTGGGTTTGGGCTCCATCTAGGACCTGGGTCCTGCCCTGCCCCAGCCTTTGGGTGTGGATCCTTCGCGGTTCGTGTTTGGCTCCTGGTTTTGAACGGGTTTTGAGAGTTTCCTGCCCCCTCCCAACTACTTCAGCAGCTGCTAGAGATTTCTTTGTTCCAGGATGGAGCTCTTTCCAGGGGGAGGAAAAGTGATTTCTGAAAGCAAATATCTCTGGAATGCCTTAAGAGTGGGACATAAAATGACAACGGATTTCTGGAAGTCAGTGTTTCTGGGCTCAGTGTTTTTGAGACTTTTAACACTCCTCTCCATCCCCATCCCGCTCCGCCCCATTCCTCTGATGTTTCCAAGTCTTTACCAAGACATTGAAAGAATCAGCCCGACATGAGACATGAGACGGGAAGATCCAGAAGGAAAGTGCAGAGACCTGCCCTAGGGCAGAGGCAAAACTGGCGGCGAGTCCGCATTTGCCGGCCCTGGGCTATTACCATGACTGAGATTCTCCCTCTCCACTCCATGAATTCCCGTCCCCGGAGCAACAGAATCATCCAGCACCTTCCACTAACACGTCTGGGAAGTAAATGCTGATTCTCCCAGCTCTGGAAGAAAGCACTTCACGCTGCCCAATTGCCTTTTCCACCTGCAGCTGGATAAGCAGCTGCTGCTGCCGCTTGTGCAGGCCCTCCTGGCGCTGTCCCAGGAGGGGACCTGGCCTCAGGCAGAGCCCTCGGGGGGCTCCGCCGCCCCCTCCCGGCCCCTCCAGCTCACAGAATCGTGGAATGAATTCCTGAGCCCTCGCGCTGCTCTCCGGGCTCACTTCAGCACTCCCGCGGTCTCTGTCCCTCTCTAGCGGCGGTGCCACAGCCCTGCCACAGCAGCTTCCTGGAGGTTTGAACGGATTGGTTTTTAGAAATGCAAAAAAAGAAATGACATCAGCAAATTCCAGGACAATTGAATTTGTCAAACAGCTGTGGTAAATCATTTCAACACCACTTTCAATTCTGATAAAATGAGTTCATCTCCAGTGACGTGTCTTGGGTTTTTTTATGAGTGAACTCACGAGACAGCTCACCGGTTCACAATGAAAGAGTTCAGCTTTGTCACAGTGGGAGGTTTTGACCCGTCTGGAATTATTTAGTTTGGAGTTTCCATTTCCAAGTGATTTTGAGCCATCAGTGTAGTTCACTGGTACTAAAAGTGCATTTCAGTAAGTAAGAAAATTGCATTTTCCAGGGCTCTGTTTCCAGCAGAGCTTTTATCATCAGATTAGTTTCCTTGCTTTGATTGGGAGGGTTGGAACAGAGACCCCCGAGGTCCCTCCCAGCCTGGGTTACTCTGAATCCATGCTCTCTGGCTAAAGGACATTTCCCGGTACATGAGGAGGGGTTGCATCCCCATCCTCACCCATGCACATGGCAGAGAATTATCACTGTGCTTGCAGACCTGTGTGGTAAAGACTCAGCAACAGGCAACCCCAAAACACAATCCCAATGCTCCCAAAGGCAGAGGCTCTGCTCAGCAGACTGGGAGCTTGGACATTGGTGCTGGCACACAAGAGGGCTCATTCCCATATTCCCAGAGGGAGGGAGAGGAGCTCTCCCTTGTTTATAACTGCACTGTAGGTTGGGTCAGAGCATCTCCCCACATCCATTATGACTTCCCAGGGAGAGTCTGAAAGGTTTTCAGGGCTGGGAGCTGAAGACATTCCTTGGGGCAGGTGCTGCAGTGGCAGCCCTTGACCATCTCCACCTCCCCAAGGCCTTTGAGGAGCAGGAGCTGCTCCAGGTGCAGCCAGGCCAGCTCACAGCAGGAAATCCCTGGGGCAGGAACATGAGGCTCTCACCTGCAGAGGTACAGGACAGGCCTGGGGACACACCCATGTGAAAACACAGTGCAGTGAACAACCTCCAGCATCAGCTCCTGACACAAACCTCTCCTGACCTGGAACTGGCTCAGCTTTTCCTCCTCTCTCTCTCACCCTGCCTACCTGGAGGACACTGCACCAGCAGTGCCACAATGTTGGTAACAATGGGACAAATGGTAACAAGATTTGTCTTAGCTACAGGTGATCCCTCACAGGACACACAGGTGCAACATCCACAGAGTTTCCACCCTTCTCCAGGGTCTTTTATCCCAGCGGAGATGGGACTTTAGGCGATGTCAGCTCTCCTGGGATGACGTGAGCAGCTGTGTCCCAAATACACAGGCTCCTTCGAGTCCCCCGTGACACATGGCACATCATGTGGGAATGACATCCTGCCAGTCTTGCTCAAAGAGGCAGAAGCAGGCCTCCAACCTCTCCGCACATGAGAGAGCAGCTCTCAGGTACAGCAGAGGTGGTTGAAAGAGCTGCTAGGCTGTGACCAGCCAGAACTGTGCTGCCAGGGCAGCTGGGTGGGCACTGCCACAGCCCCTTCCCTGGCTGAGCTCTGGCCCTTCCTCTGCCCCAGACATCCAGCACTGCTAGAGAGTTTCCATCTGTCTTACCTGGACAAGCCACTGCTCGGGCCGGGGAGGATGAGAGACTCAGTGACATGTTTTCTCAGAAGCCAAAAGCAGGTCTTTTAAAACATGTATAAACCACGACCCAGCCCCTAGCACCTGACCCTCCCCCTGCCCCAAGCACTCACCTTCCTGCTCCTTAGGAAATTGAGCATGGAGGACTGTCTGGAGAGCCCTGGGAGGCTGAGGTGGAGGGAGATGATCTGCTGGGATGGGCACCTGGAGCGGCATTCCCGACGTTCATGCTGGCAGGAGCTGATGGGACTGCCAGAGACACCTGTGAAACACTGGATCCACCAAGGGTTACCACTCATGCATTGTGTGAAAATGAGCCCAATCCAAGGCTGAGTACCACACAAACACTCACAAAAAAGACATAGCCCACCCCTGGGAAGTCTGCCTGGGAGAGAGATTCCCTCAGTCTGATGCGGAAATTCCTAAGGGACAGTCTGGCAGTAGCAGCGCTGTCACATCAAACTGGTGTTTACAGACCAGGAGTAAAACACTTTATATTAGACTGGTCAGCACACACAAACTAAAAAGAATCAAAATTTCACTGGGAAATCAAAGGCTTTTTCTTTAGTGAGCACACGAGGGATGGGGTGAGAACAGGTCAGTGCCCTGATTAGCAAAGGGAAAGGGGATGCTCAGCCATGGCTGAAGCACAAATCTTGCACTGAGTGAGCCTCAGCCCAGTGGGTCGAGGGCAGAGGGCTCCATCTCTCCCGGAGCCCATTGAAGCTGCTTGAGCTGGAAACAAACCTGTCCCCGGTGGCCAAACCCCAGTATCACAGCTCTCCACACCTCCCGCATTGGCACATCAGCTCTGCATCAGAGGATGGGAAGGTGGGATCAGGTGTGGGAGCAGGGGAGGTGCAGGACCATGGCATAGAGGTTTGGACTGGTTTGCTCTACTGTATTTTGAGTTTACAAATTACCAGTGTTTATTGGCTAAAGGCTGTTTCTTCTGGAAATCCTTTTCAAATGAGCTATTTTTCCTCAATAGCAGTGTCTGTACTCCAAGATTTATTGATGTAAATCTTTATTTCATCAGATAATAGGGAAGAAAACTTTCACAAGAATTGCCCATGGTGTCATGCAACACCACTGTAATCTGTTTGCTTTGACCTGCTGAAGTCACAGACCCAGTGTGTGCTGCAAAAATGTAAATTTTGCATTGACTTAAAAATGGATTTTCAGTGTACCCAGCGCCAGCGGCGGGGGACCAAGAAACAGGAAGGGACATTTGAAACTTGCACTTGGGGTACAGCTGCTGCTGGCTGCCTGAGAGTCCCTTTGCTCAAGGAAGGAGTGAGCAGGAAGCCAGGCAGTAATTCCCAGCTTAACAGCCATTCCAGTGGTGATTCCTGTGGATGCTCCTCACTCACAGCAGAGCGGACAGCTGGCACTTGGCAAAGGACAATGTGCCAGCTGAAGATACTGTTAACCCATTCTCCCAGCTCTGCTGCCATACAAACTGTGATTTTGATTTTTAGGCAAATATTTTAAATATATCTCTCAATGATTTTTGAGCACTCTTGGGAACCCAAAGAGGTTGCAGCTCACTGAATGCACACTGCACCTGGGGAAGCACAAGAAAATCTCCAGTACATCCGACACTTATACCTGCCTTCCCTGGCAGGTGAGAAGGTGAACAGCTCCAAGCCAAATGGCATAGCCCAGCGAATGTCCCCTCACTGTGATCTGAACAAACACCTTGGCAGCCTGGAAAATGAGCACCTCCCACATGATCAGGATTGTGCTCCCTGCATCATCAGGCTTGCATTAGGCTCCCAGCAAACTTCAAAGTGTTTCTTGAGAGTCACTAGATTTGCTGACAGCCTGAGGAAGCTCCCTTGGGAGTCTTTGTTCTTACCACCACTTCCAAACTAATTTAAGTTTGCAGTGACTGGGACCCACTCTCAAATACTCTTATTTGAAAGAACATGCATCATGTTCACCTCAACCTCCTTCATCCCATTAAATAGTTTTATCTGGGGCCAACCCTATCCTGTCCCTCCCCACACCAAATGGAGTCAGAGGTGGCAGCTGGACAATGCCAGCAACACAGGAGGACATATTACAGCAGTGATGGCAGTGTGTCTCCCACAGCCACACAGTTCTGCTGTTAACTCCACATAGGAAAGCACTAGTTAAAGTGCTTTTTAGACCTAAAGAAAACTCTAGTCACCAGAGTCCTGAGAGCAGAGAGGCAGCGCTGGTGCCCGTGTGCTGTCGGGGGCCCTCGGACACAGCTGATGGCAGCAGCATTCCTGCACACAGGATGCACACAGCTCCTCACCACAGAACTTGGGACCTCTGCACCAACCTGACCAGGGGAACAGGGAGGGAACAGATCCAGTTCCCAGTAAAAACATTTGTGCCAGATTCAAGAGTGAGAGCACAAAAGAGAACAGTGATGGCAGCATGGACACTCCTCTGGCATTCAAAATGAGGTTTGGGAGGGTTGGGTTTTTTTCCTTCAATTACTTAAAAGTGCAACAATCACAGACACTTACAGAAGCTGCACAGCCCTCAGAACAAGCCAACTTCCCTTGGAACTCATCCCCAGTCCCTGGAGGACAGCTGCGTTTCTCTGGAATGGATGCCTTAAGAATCAGCAAAACCAAAATGCTAGAGAAGGCATCCTATCAAAACCACACCATTTACCACCAGGCTACAGGAACCCCAGCACATAAATCAGCACAGCTGCTCAACAACAACAACAAAAATTTAATTGTGTTAAGAGACAAACATATATAACAAAACCCACATTTCCATTAAAAAAATTCCTTGTGCCTGGGCACCTGAGCCAAGCCACTCTCTGTTCACAGCTCCATGGTGCTGATGAGTACCCAGAGGCAGGGACTGCTACTGGGAGTAAATGCTGTGTAACCTGGCCAGAGCAGAGAGCTGCACTGCAGCCACATGGGAAGGGACATACAAAATAGTTATGAAAAAATATGCATTTTAAATAAAGAACTTACAACAACTTCAACTTTATACAAAATATCATGGTTGCCATGTCTCAATTTCAGTGTCTCAATTCTAGGAATTATTTTTGAACTCTCAGCATCCTGTTTTCCATCTCACACCAACTCTGCAGTCTCTTTCTCCAGAGAGCTGTCTCTGTCCAGCTCAGTCCAAAGTACCTGAAAATGAAAGAACAAATTATAGTCTCAGGAATCAGAAGTGTGGTTGTGTGAACAAATAAATCTTGTCTACAAGCTGGAAAAAGAAAGTGCAGTAACTTTAAAGTTTAAGCAAATCACACATGAGTAAAACCAAATATAGCCAAAAAAACTACTGCACGTGCCTCAGGGTCAAGGGTGAGCCGTTCCAGTGCTCAGAGGGGCACTGCAAGCCACACTAGGAATTACCGAGGATGTGGAAGCAGAGAGCTTTGGAAATGACTCAGTTCTTTCTCTCCTAAGTAGATAATTACACAAAGTACTAAAATCAAGTAGAAACTCACCTTCCAAAAAAGCAAATTCATCAATAGCTTCAATGGCATTATCTGAAAAGCAAATTGAGAACAGTTAAAATAGATAAACCAACTCCATATTTACATTTGAAATTACATCACAGCACAGTGACCAATTTCAAAGAGAAATTACTTGTTTTGGAGATGGTGTATGAAATTATTAGTGTAGTCTCTGATAGAAGTTTTTCTCTCCCATCTTCAGGGAAAGAATAAATCCATAATTACTTCAGCACCTCCAGACAGGTGGAAAAATCCCCCTTTGCAACCCTTTGCATGAACAGAACATGCTCCCATACCCAGGTCTTTTCTTTGCAGGGTTTTCCTTTTTCCTTGCTGGGCATACACGTAAGCATCTTTGGCTATGGTTTCAACAAACAGCTCCTGCAAAACACGACAGGGTCACATAGGAGATCAGAGAGAGAATATCCTGAGGAAAAAGAAAGGTCCTATAAGGCTTCAGGATTAAATCAGAATCTTCATCCTAACATTACCCGTCCCCAGTAAACAGGTCTGAAAATACCAAAGGAAATGGCTGGACGGTGATGCACAGGACAAGCAATGAGGGAGAAAGCTGGGAATGTGGATTCCTCGAAACTCACATTCTCTGAGAGACCTGCACCACACCAGGGGCTCCCAGGGAACCTTCTAAAGGGGGAAAGGTGTCCTGTGCTCAGGAGATGAATCATGAAACCCCTGAGGTGGAGAAATACCTCTGAGATCATTGTGTCCAACCATCAACCCAGCACCACCTCCACATTCACCATCACTCCATGTCCCCAAGTGCTACATTTTTGTAAACAGTTCCAGGGATGGTGACTGCCCAGGGCTGCCTGTGCCAGAGCCTGACGTCTCTCTCCATGAAGGAGTTTCCCCAATATCCTAAATCTCCCCTGGTGCAGCCTGAGGCTGTTTCATCTTGTCCTGTGCCTTCTTGCTTGGGAGAAGCGACCGACCTCCACCAGGCTGTCCCCTCCTGTCAGGGAGTTGTGCAGAGCCACAAGGTCCCCTCGAGCCTCCTCTGATTCAAGCTGAGCCCCCCCAACTCCCTCAGCCACTCCTGGGGCTCCAGCCCCTTCCCCAGCTCTGGCCGACCACAGCCGCCCCGCGGGTCCGTGAGCTGCCGCCGCCCGGGAGAGAACGAAAAACCTCCTGGGGAAGACCGAGCAGCATCCCCGCATCTCGCAGCGTTCCGGCCCCCAGGACCCCCAGGGGCCGCCCCTCACCGTGGCCCGCGCCAGCACGAACACGGCCTCCTGGCTGGCCAGGGTGACGTCCGGGTCCGCCTTCACCAGCGCCTTCACCCGCGCCAGCGGTAGCCGGGCCAGCCGGGCCGGACCCAGGCCCTGCGGCCCCGCGCCCGCCGCCTCCTCCCCGGGCGCCGCCGCCTCCGCGGGTCCCGGCCCCGGCCCCGGGCCCGGCGCGGCCGCCGCCGCTGCCATCCCGCCCGAGCGCTGCGCCTGCGCGGGGCCGCGGGGCCGGGCCGAGCTCGGCGGGCCCTCGCTGCGTTCGCGGCGGGGCCCTGCAGCGCTGGCGGCCCCGAGCACGGCCCCTCCTCCTTCCCTTCACCCCATCGCCAAACATGCCCCCCCCATCTTCCCCTTCACCACGTCCCCTAACACAGCGTAACACATCCCCCTGTCCTCCCCAAAGATGGCCCTCAATGCCTCCGTGCCACCCCCGTGCCCCAGCACGGCTCCCGGGCCTCCCTCTCCCCACAGATAGGGACATGCCCTCCCCGTTGCAGGGGCACTGGGGCACTGGGGCACTGGGGCAGGTGGGAGGTGGCTGTCACTGCTGTCTTCCCCTCCTGTGCCCCAGAGTCAGCTCCCCGTGGGTCCAGTGTGGGACCTCGCAGCACACCCTCTCCATCCCATCTCCAGCTGGTGGGATCAAGTCCTCCAGTGCCCCCCTTGGGCACCCACCACCTTCCACAGAACCCCCAGGACCGCCTCCCTTGGCCAACAGGTGCCAGCTTGTTGCCCATGGCCAACCTTCCCCATGTCCTCAAACTCTGTCTTATCCTTAACCCATCTGCAGGCAGGAGCCGCCTCAGGCACTGCTGGTGAGACACTTTCCCAAAGGGCTGCAGGGCCACGCCAGTCTTGGAGCAGGGACACCAGCACCAACCAGCAGACCAGAGCACCCCTTGACTCGACCTGTCAGACCATTCAGAGGCAGTAAACAGTGACATCAGGACAGTTAGATACTGCGATGGCCTGACACAGCACCCTGCTCTGCAGAGCTTCCCCTTGCTTCCCAGAGGAACTAGGCTCTTCAGTGGAGCTCATGTCCTGCAGTTTTGGATACTCCAGGAAGCCATAGCCCTCACCCAGCTTTTCTGTGCTCCCACACAGCTCAGCTGGGCACCCTCTGCACCCTCCCATCTGCAAGTCACATGCAGCTTGGAGACCTGACCTGCAGAGGAATCCTGGGCCACCACTGGACAAGGACATTTCCCACCCTCCTGGTTCCACCCCCTGGCATCCTGCAGTCAGTTCCCAAAACTGAGGCTCTCCTTTGGACACAACTCTTATGCCCAGCAGGACTTGGAGGGCTGCAAGCATCAAACAGCAGCAAAGCCAAACTGGTGGTGTATCGAGAGCTGCTCCTCCTCCTCTTTCTCCTCCTCCTTGTGCGGTCTCACCATCAGGCAAAAGCAGCTTCCTGGTGTTGCACAGAGTTCCTCACCAGCCTTTAGGAAAGAGCTTCTGGTTTCAAGGGAGGGAGCCTCAGAGAGACTTGTCCAGAACGCTTCGGGTGGTCTTTAACAAGGAGGTGAGCACACAGGAAAGCATCCACTAATGGAAGATGGTGAGTAAGAACCAGACCTGGCTGTAGTGGACATGGGTACGGGACTCTGGGAGCCATATGTCCTGGTTGGAAGGGTTTTGGGGATGTCCTTGTGAGGGGTTGGATCTGGCCAACACTGTCACTCCTCCTGAAAGTCAAAATCCTCCTGTACATCTGAGCTGGACAGAGTTTCAAAGGTCTCTGACCAGTGTCTGGGCTCAGAGGAAGGTTTGCTGGATGAACTTGGGCTGAATATAAATGTCTATGAAAGGAGGAGGCCACACTCCCACCGAGACCAGAAGAGCCCCCACCAGCACAAAAATGGATTGGAAAACCTGGAACTAATCACAGTGATGGCAGTGCTGTATATCCAAGGACTCTGAGCAAGTCTCAGCTCATGGAACTAGCCCAAAACTGATCATTACAAACCACCAAATCTTACAGGTATCAAAAATCCCAATGGCATGTTTGGGAATCTGGAAAATGTTTCTTTTTTCACAAATTGGAGTGAAAGCCCCACTGCTGGTATACAGGAAGTGGCAAATTTATGCTGCTTCAGCACTGCTGTGCCAAGTGCTGCATTTGAGGGTTTACCAGGAAAATTGGGGTGTTTGCCTGGGGAGCTTGCACTTTTGTAAGTCTGTATATATACATTTGATCGGTTATGTCTAAAAACATTGTATCAGCTTCTCTCCCTTGTATCAACCCTTCCCTTGTGAAAATAAAAATTATGCAATCATAAACCAAAACTAAAATCCCAGAAGGAGAAGAGCTTCAAAGTCAAAGCATACAGCTCCAGCGAAGCAGCCAGCTCTGGTGCCAAGGGACGCTATGGTCTGGGGACACGGGTGTGGGAGAAAGATGGGGAGGGTAAACTGATCCCTTCCTCTCACAAAGTCCACCTGAGAAACTTAGGAAAAATGTAGCCCCATCCTGTAGCTTTGTGCCATGCCTACAAGCTGGCAGTCTTCTTCCGAGAGCCATTCACAGCCTTCTCCTGGCAGCTTTTCTCTGGAGACTCTAGAAAAAGGTGAATTTTGGTCACTAAGGAAGCTAAAGTCAGCCTGTGCTGGAGCAGACATGTCCCAATTCATGTGTGCACAGTGTGAACCACACAGGAAACACACATGTCAGAAAAGTAGGGCATGGAAAAGTAGAGTCTGCTGCCTCTTGGCCTTCTGTTTTCTGCACTCAGGCTATGGTAGGATGAGTCTTAGCAGTGCCATCCAAGCTTTTCCTCCAGAGAGGGATCCAATGGCCCTGCGTGGTCTCCCCCACCAACTCATCATGGGAAACAGGACCAGGGTAAGGCAGGTTGCTCCCATCTGAGCCCTGGGAAATCTCTGGATCTCAGATTCTGCCCTCAGGAGCTTTGCTACTACCACCCAATCCCTCTGATTTGATGGTCCCTGGTAGTGGACAGAGGGTGGATCAGACCAAAAGACTCCATGAAAGGTCTCCTGGGTGCCCCTGTGGTGGGGTAACCTGGTCTCAGTTTGGTGCAGCCCCATGTTGTTTTCTCAGAAATGTTTCAGGACCTTTTTGAGCAAAGACCTGGTTTCATGGAGAAGATTTAGTGTGAGACCATGTTGAAGGAATACCACATTCTCCAGGGGGAATTTTGACTTATTTTCCTCCATGGTATTTTAACTGGAACTGTTTTTCTTAATGGGTGCAGATGCATCTGGAGGGGAGAGACGCTGTGGTGAAGCACCTTCGAGCAAAGTTCCAGCAGAACAGGAAAGAACCTCCCGAAGAGGGTGGCTGGCCAGAGAGTTGCCCTGCAGCCTCTCATGGACCAGAACCAAGACAGACCCCTGCCAAGGGTGATCCTCCTCAGGAGCCCCTGTGGAGCAGGAGGGTGGAGTTCTGCAAGGCCTCTCCACCTCACAGTATGGGTCAGAGTTTGGGACAGCATTCATCTCATTCTGCCTGTGAGGCCCTGGCACAAACGGTGTGTCGGAAGCAGGGAACGGCTCAAGATGCCAACTTCCAGCCAGTGCCTGCAAAGCCAGGAGGAGATGTGTTGAACAAGAAGGTGGAAGCCAGCTCTGATCCTCCCCGCAGGAAGCCAGCCCAGCAGACACGGCCACCTGACAAAGACAAGGGGGCTCCAGCAGTTGTTGCCAAAGGCACAGCTGTTGCAGCCCCTCTGCTCACTGTGGGAAGCCCCCAAAGGACAGAGTGGGTGCCTCAGAGGAAGCCTTTGCCACATGTCAGGGAACTGGGAGTGAAGCCAGGCAAGCCCCGACGCCCTCCTGATGTGGATTTGGCAAAGTTCAGAGCAGCTGCACATCCTGGGACATCCATCCATCCTGCCACAGAACCACCAAGGAGTGCTCAGCTGGGTATGGCCAGGCACATGAAAGTCCCGCAGGGAAGGGTGCTGCTCATTCAGGAAGGAAAATCAACCCAGTTAGGGCCTGCAGCTCTTGGGATATGGAAATACTGGGAGGGCTGATGGAGAGGTGGGGGCTTGCATTACCAAAGGGGCTTTTATAGGCAATAGCATGAGGATGAGAATGAGAGACAAGGAGGGCAGAAGAAACAAAGTGCCCTGTCCCTGGCTAGGCACAAGTTTCCATCTCTGGAGTATCTGTAGGAAGTAAGGTTGCAGTAAGTAACATGAGAGATATTGCCAAAGTGGAGTGAGTCCAAGATGGTTGGGGACTGGAGCACATGGAGAAAGAAATGCTGAGACCCAGGCTTGTTCAGCTGGGAGGAAAGGGAGGAAGGGGAGCTCTCACTGCCCACAGCTACCTAACGGGGAGAAAATGGGGCCAGACTCTTCCCCGAGGTGCCATGGGGCAGGCCTGGGGGTGATGGGCATGAGCAGGTGGGGAGGTCCCAGTCAGACATTGCCCTGCCACAGTCTACAGTGGCCTTCCAGATCTAGGCTGCTGTGGTGGTTTCTCACAGTTGCTGTTCTGCTAATGCACACTACAGGTGATGAAAGCTGTTTCAAATGCCATTTCTTGCTCAGTTTCTCTAACTATGGGAGTAGACTTCCTCTTCTTAAGAGAACTGAAAAATCGAGCTGGTCTATGTTATAATTAAAAGCTGTTATCAGGGCTGGCCACGCTGTTGTGCTGGGAGATTCTCACATGACTGGCTACAAGTATTTATTTGTCTCATGGGTCCTGAGGCAAGCCACACCATCTACAGTTACACCTTGTCTTGATTTGACAATTTTTGTTAATTTTTAGGGCAATCTTACTATTTTTAGGACCAAGTATCTGATTGTGTATTACTTGGTACCATAAACCAGCAGAGATTTGATGTTGTACTCAGGTCTTTGTGCCCATTGTTGGTTAGTCTGGTTGACCAGGCTGGAGACAAGGCTTGTGATATAAATAAATTCTAGTTAGCAGGGGGGTGGTCATGCTGGCAGTCCTAAAGGGGGCAGCAATATGATGCTCCTGAGTGCATGGAGATATCCAAGACTTGCCCTGACTCTGGTACATATCTGAAATTTAGGGGTTTTCCACCTGTTCATGATACCTCTTTTGTCCTCTTCCCCTCTCCTTCCATCATTTGTCCAGGAAGAAAGTAATATTAGAAATATACAAATGGAAAAATGCATATTCAAGGTCCTCAGTGAGGAACCTGATGATCTGTGCACCAGTGTGCTGGAAGAAAATCCCTAGATGGGCTATGGAGTAAAAACTCCTTGCTCTATAAAGATGTGTGTTAAGTTTTATCTCCCCACCTTCCCCTGCACTAAATTCAGCCCAGAGTGGCTCTGACCTCAGGGTGGCTGACAGAGCTGAGGAGAAAATACGAAATAATCCCTCCCTGCTCCCTCCTGTTCTGCTGTTTTTCACAGGTCATCTGCAATCAGTGCCCACAAGGTTCCCACTGCAGGATGCTCCGAGTGGCATAGGGTAAGGACTGAGGCTGCACTTCCAAGCTGTGCCAAGCCACTGGGAAGAGCACAAGACATGACAGAAAGAGGGTATTTGGGTTTTCCTGCCTGCTGTTGGAGCCCAGGGTGTGCAAGCAGCTCCCACAGTGTGAAGTTGGGCCATCCCCTGGGGCTACGTTATCTCACATTGCACCCTGCTGCCTGTCCACATCCAGCTGTGTGAGGAGCTGCTAGCACAGGGCACGGAGCTGCTGTCCAGCTCTGCCCCAGAGCCAGGGATGGTCCATGGCCAGCCCACCTGCTTGTTCCCCACCCTCCTCTTGGCAGCCCCGATTCTGCCCTCAGCCCTCAGCACCGTCATTGCAGCAGCACTTCCTAACCGTGTTCTGCCTCTCGCAGGGATGAAGATGAGATATACGATGATGTTGAACCTGTTGGGCTTGCCAGGAGAAGCCCAGGCCTCCTTCTGCCTTCTGTGTCCCCACTGCCAGTATATCCTTGCCCCAGAGGAGGTGAGTACAGGAGGGACTTGGATGCTGTTTGGGGTAAGACCTGCAGCTCAGAGAGCTGTGAGGCCCCAGTGAGCCGTGGGCAGTGGCATGGCCTGTGCTAAGCCTTGCTGTTCCCCCACACAGGAGGGCAGTGGGTTCCCCTTGCAAATGGGCACAGGATACCCTGATCCCTGAGACTTGGGGCCAAACTCAGGATTTGGTCCCAGGAGGAGAAAGCTTTTGCTGCTCTTTGTATCCTATTTTGGCAGGTGTTTACACCTCACAGCAGCCTCATGGCAGCACCTCTCCTGGGGTTTGGTTTTACAGGTGGAAATGCTGGCCAAGCCTCTAACTGGGTTACCTTGCTGGCAGCTACACAGAGGTAATGTTTTTTTTTAACTCTTTCTAAGGGTCCTAAAATGGCCAGGGCTCCTTGCTACTCTAAGATGCTGCTTTAATGGTCTCTACTGGGCTTGGAATAGGAATGTCTGTGGTGAAGAGCACAAGCTGGAGGCTGTACACCTGGCCCTGAGAGCCCCCATAGCCCCAGAGCTGGTGCAGAGAAATGCAGTGGGGAGCAGCCGGCAGGGAGAAGGGGCGTAAGAGGAGAAGGAGGGAGTAGATCATGGGGTCATCTGAATCTTCCCCTGGCTTTCAATGACTGTAGAGAATCCCAGGTCTCCCAGAAGATGAAGACCATGACACTCAAGACATGCAAGAAGGAAGAGAAGATGGACAGGGAGTTTCAGAAGAAATTTAAGGTGAGCAGCAGCAAGTGATCACTTTTCCCTCTGAGCTCTTTTTCCCTTCCTGGGAAGGGTGCAGTGCAATGGTAGAAAGGAGCTGTGCTCCACAGGGGCCAGTGATACCCAGATCACACCCTGCCTTGTTCCCCCAGGTCACACCTGCCCCATTTCCCCAGATCAGACCAGTCCCACAGACCATTTGGCCAGAGAGGAGTCTGGTTTTTTTCAAGGAGGGAGAGCAGTCAGCGATCTGCCTGACTCGACTCCCCATGGGCACTGCTGTTTGTGTTTCAGTTCGAAGGCACCATCAATGTCCTGACCCAGATGATGGTTGACCCTGCAGCAACAGAGAAGAGGGGTGGTCCAAAGAACCTGCCACTGAGACGGGGAGAAATCCTTGATGTCATTCAGTTTACAAATCAGAAGCAAATCCTCTGCCGGAACAGCCAGAGGAGGTGTAAGTCTGGAGGGGGATGGGGTTTGCCCACAGCAGGGAGCACAGCAGTTTTGAGAAGAAGCTTCTTCATACAAACAACCCCTGACAGACTTCCTGCCAGATCTCCTCCACCTGTTAGACAGATCTGACAGCTACCCTGCTACCCTGAGAAGGTTCCCACTTTCCTCTGCACAAATGTCCTGCTCTTCCTTCCACTCTGCAGCAGCATTTCTGCTGTGAGCTGAGCTTGTCCTTTCCCTCTGCTAAAGGCTTTTTCAGTCCTTGAAGCCTCCTGACTGCCAGCCTGGCACACCAGGCTTTGCCATGGGCTCCAATGCCACAAGCTGTGTCTGCACTGAGAGTTGCTTGGGTGGAATGGGCTGCAGATCCCTCAAGCAGAGAGGAAGGGATCAGGCTCTTCCCTGTCAGCTGCCATTCAGCCTGGAAGGCTCCATCCTGACACTGCCCAGAGCAAGTTCCTCTGAAGGGCCCAGCTTGGCTGCCCAGAGCTGGATTCCTCCTTGTCCCAGCTCTTTCTGGGAACATGAGGTGTTACTAAACCCTGAGCAGGGGCAGGTGCTGGGGTGATTCCCGCTCATGCCCTGGTTCCCAGCACAACCTGACATGTTTTTCTTCACTCTGTTGCAGATGGCTACGTGCCCCGGGCTGTGATGCTGCCTCTGTGAGTACCCTTTTGAGCCCATCACCTCCACTCCATGAGCTGCAACAACTTCCCCATGAGTGGCCAGCGCCAAACTAGTCCTGGCTGACGACTCAAAACTACCCAGCTCATGCTATGACCATAAGCCTAACACCAGCTGGTTCCCCTGTGTGAGGAGAGGTTCTGCCACTGGGGCACTTGAAGCACTCCCCAGGGTGTCTTCCCTCATGTGGGATCTGCCCAGACACTGCTCAGAGGCTGCTGCTGGCACAGGATGCAGCACAGTGGCACAGGGTGCAGCCCCTTTGCATGGTTGGGTCTGCAGCTCCTGGCAGTCTGGGACAAGGCCACCATCCTGAGAGGGGCCAGAGTCATCTTAACCCCACTCCAGATGGTCCCAGCCATGCAGGGAGAGCACAGCACTGGGAGGTGGAAATGGGGCTGCAGGTGGACACCAGAGTCCACAGACAGGTCAGCAGGAGATGAGACAGATACGGCAGCAGGAGCTGGCCCTTACCTTACTGGGGGTTGGAAGGTAGTGGGACATGGGAGATCACACTGCCTACAGCATCCATCTTTATCCTTGCAGGGACACTGACATCTATGATGACGTTGAGATTTATGGTAGGTGCACAGAACTGCTGCCACACCCTTTCACTGGCCACAGGGACCATCACACCAGCACCAAGATTCCCCTCCTCCTGACCCTTTGCTGTTTTGCTGCCTTGCCTCTTCCTTCCCTTTGAGTGATTCCTCTTCCTCTCCCTGAGGTATCCTTTACTTACTCACAGTTCCCTAAAAGTCTTCAAGTTCCTCTGTTCCAAATTGTTTGGACTTCTCTGTACCTGTTTTCAGCTTTCTCCCTCCACTTGCTGCCAGCCCCAGGGCCCCCTCAATGTCCTTTGAGGTGTCCCTGATCCCCCAGACAACTCAGACTTCTCTTTTCCAAACAGTTGCTCTCTTCTGACATTCAGACTCCATCCCTGGCTGGCAGTTGGCTCTTAAGACGGAGCTGAATAGTGACAACTGTGTTTCAGCTCTACTCACAAGCACACACTTTCTCTAATTCTGGCAGGCTGAGCCAACCATGCTAAGGCCAAAGGCACAAGACAGCACCAGAGAGCCCTAAGGGCTGAAACATGAACAGCACCAGACACCAGGCTCCTTTTGTGAAGGAGCTCTGCCTCCTCTGAGACAGACTGCAAAGCCACCATGTCCCTGCCAGAGCAGTGCTATGGCTGCTCAGCACATGGAGCTGCACAGATCCTGTCCCACGGGGCAGACGGCCCCAGATCCTCAAGTCACACCATCACTGTAGCTCTGTTTTGTCCGTGTAAAATATAGCAGTGGTTCAAGAGGGTTTCATGGCCTTTTCTTTTCTTTTTTGGGTGGGGAGAGAGGGGTAAAATCAGGCCCATTAAGGTTTCCGTTTTCCATTCCCAGAGCATCTTCAGCCTGGGACCCACCTGCCCTTTCATTCTGCACCACACTCTGGCTCCAGTGACACTCCTGGCCTGAGCCAGAGGCAAACTGGACAGAGAAATATGCTCAAATATAATGAATTATGGACCAGGTACTCCATCAGCATCTCATGGCCTTGGGGCAGCTTCCCTGGAGAGCTGGCAGGAGGTTGGATCTGTTCAGGCAGATATTTGTGTGGGAACATTCAGTATCATCTGTTGGTGCCTTGGGCTGTGTCTGCAGATGCTATGGAAAATTCTCTCATTCACTGGGAAAGTTTCCCTTTGCAGACCCTGCCTTCATGAAGCCCTCACAGAGGGGGCAGGATCAGGTGGTGGGGAGCACAAATCTAATGCAGGACCCAGATCTGGTGGCAGGACCCAAATCCTTTTGGATCAGAAACACGGAGAAGTTCTGAGGCTGAGTCCCTGCTCTCATTCTGCACATCCCAGGCCCCCATCCCAGGGGCTGGAGGGTTAAACTGGGAGGGTTCAGCACCTCACCGGCAGGATGCCAAGCCCAGATTAACCAGTTGAAGACGTCACTTTCCATTATGGGAAAGGCTCCCAAATATCCCTGAAGCTTTTGGTTCTGGGGATTAGCCACCAGCACACTCAGCTCCTGGCACAGAGCAGGGGTCCATCGGTGCCGTGGGGCCCATGGCCATGAGTGGGGCTGGGAGCTGCTCCCAGGGGCATCATCTGGGCGGCTGAGGACGACCATGTGGGAGTGGGTCAGAAGAGCTGTGCTGCACTCACTGTCCACGGCCCTTCTGCGCCTCTGGAAGTGGGTACGGGCTTTCTGGTACAAAAATGGCCTCTTGACTCTCTCGATGCTGTCGGTTGTCACTGGATGCCTCCTGGGGTTCCTGCTGCGGGCACTCGAGCTGACAGACCTGGTAAGCCTGGCTGGGATGGTGATGGGAGTAAGAGGGGTGGAGTGGGGCAGAGAGCAAGCCCTGGTGCCACTAAGGGTCCCAGATGGGCACAGCCCCAAAAGCAAAGGCTCCTGCCCAAGAAAACCACCTTAAGGCAGGTTTCTGTCCATGGCTTTTATTTTTTTATTTTCTTCTTTTTTTTTGACCAAGAAGGTGTCAACAAATGCCCAAGCTATAGGACAAATCCTGCCTCCCTCCAATGGGAGTAGGGAGCTATGGGTTGGACCTCATGGGGCTGCAGGAGCCTCAAGGTGGGATGAGGATGGGAAAGGGGGCAATGTTTACTCAGGGGCTAGATCCTCAGTAAACAGGCTCCCCCAACACCACTAGCAGCATTGGGATCTGAGGGATGGGGTCCAGAAGATGGGGTTTGAGGGATGGGGTCCTCCTCAGCTGTGTGCAATCAAAGCACATTTTCATGCTCTGGAGAGGACCCAGCAAATAAATAGAAGGCTGATGGGGAGCCTGGAGTAGAAGAGTCACCTTCCTTTGAGGAGCCTTGGAGACAAATGCATTGGAGAAAACACATGAGAAAGGCACATTAGCTCAGCACTTTGCAGGAGCATTGCATTGTGAAATGGCACCAAGTTGAGATCCTCTGACTTCAGGCAGCTGGGGCACAGTTCAGCCCTGATCCTCAGGCAGGCTGCTGAGCCCAGGAGCGGGAATGCTGCTCCAGGAGAGCTCAGCTGATGCTGGAACATCCCTGTGTTGCCCACTGGGATTTAGCAAAGTCTTGTCATTTCAATTAGGCCCTTCAGCATCAGCGCAGCAGGGATGATCTCGTTACTTAATTGAAGCTGGGTGTAATCTCCCAGCATCCCAGTGCACACACCCGTGAGAGCCCAGCAGCCACCCACGCTGGGCATGAGGCTCGCAGAGTCTTGGGGCTCCAGCCCCTCATCTTGCCATGCATAAAGTTTATCCATCCTCTGCTTCAGCCCCATCCTGCCCTATTGCCACAGCTCTGCTATGGGCCTGGTAGCCACTAGAGACTGTCCCCACTACAGACTTTTGTCACAAAATCTGGAGGACAGCTGGAGAGGTGGCCAATCCCTGCTTTCCTCCCATTTCCTGAATGGGAAAGTGTAACAAAGCTGAGAGACCCACTGGCAAAGAGATGCTGTTCGGATCTGGCATTACCCTTGCACCCAGCTGGGCCCATTGCAGCTCCACTCTGCCTGAGCTTCCTGGGACATCAGCCACATCCAAACCACACACTGGGACATTGCAGGGACAGCACAGGGGAGCAACTGAATAGCTGCCTTGGCACCCCTCAAAGCCCCAGCATGTGGTGGTGGCTACTCTGGAGTAACCAAAAGTACCTTCTTGTCTTGGGGTCAACTCATATCACTCCCTGACACCTCTACAGTGGCACAGTGAAATAAGGGGATCAGGGATGGATGGATGGATGGATGGATGGATGGATGGATGGATGATGGATGGATGGATGGATGGGTGGAGGGATGGATGGTGGGATGGATGGTACATAGAGATAAGGATGGAGGGAAGGAGGGATGCTGGCCAAGCTGCTGGTCCCACAGACCCCTCACTCTCCCCTTGGTCATGGCTGTGGGATCCAGACTTTGGGGGGATGTCTCTGCAGCCTTTCTTCATGTCCATGTGAGGGGTGTAGGAGGTGGAGAGATGCCATGGCACCAAGATTGTCCCATGGATGGGCCAGACACCTGGGCTCTCCCTGAGCTTGTCTTTTCCACCTGCAGCCATGAGATATTCCCACCTTTTGTTGCTGCTAACAGCTTTGGGGAACTTTTGCCCCAAAGTAGATGCAGCCAAGCCTCTGCTCCCTGATAATGAATGCAATGACTTTCGAGAGGAGCCAATGGTAGAGCCACGTGGACTCTTTCCTAGAAGTCTACAGAACCAGGGATATTTTTGGGAGGGGACCAATCCCACATGCCTCTCCCTTGTTTACAGCCAGGTTTGCCACGTGCCCAGTATTCCCCATCCCTGAGCCAACTCCCAGTAAGGAACAGCAGAGAAATGGCATCATTGAGTGCCTCAAGAAGCGACTGCCAGTTCAGAACAATGCTCAGAGCTGGATCTGGTTGGGATAAAGGCAGATGGATCAAGTTTGAGCCCTTCACCCATAATCATTTACCTGACACATGCTCTGCTCTACGTGCAGGAGAAGCAGTATTTTTCCTTTCCTGGAGAGCTCCTCATGAGGATGCTGAAGATGCTGATCCTGCCCTTGATCACCTCCAGGTAAGGTATCACCTTCTGCTCTAAAGCACCATCTTTCCATCACATTGAAAAGATCACCCTGTGACCCCTGCATTGAGGAGATAACCCCAAAACTGCATGGGATGAGAATAACCCTGGCTCCAAGCAGCTGGCAGTCAAGCAGCATGCCCTGGCTTGGTGTTCATCAAACCCCATGATTTCCCAGCGACAGTCAGGGACAAATGCTTATCTGAATTTGGCAGGCACTTGCACCCAGGTCAGACACCTGCACTGGATGAGGTGTTTCCCGTCTTTTGGGCAGCTGGTGATGCCAAGACCATTTGTGGGCATTTGTGATGAGCTGTTTAACATCAAAGCAGATTCCCTTAGAGGGATTTGAGAAAGGTCAGGTAAAAAACATCAGCATTCCCCAGTGCTGTGTCTGTGTTTGCAAATCCCAATTTTTTTGGCTCATAGAGACCTAGAAATAAGGAACAGAGCCAGCAGTCCCACTGAGGTCTAAGCAAGGTCTTGAAAACCTTATATGGATTAACATATTGCAAACAATATGTTGGCATATGCTCATTAGACACACAAATGATCAAGTCCTTCTCCCCTCGAGGATGTGTCATTTCTCTATTGTTTGTCAGTTTGCTTCTTGTCCCATTTGCCTCTGGTTCATTTTTGATAGCAGTGTAGTCTCTATCCTGGCCACACTTGATGTGTTCAGTACCAGTCCTTGTAGAGAAGTCTGTATCTCACATCCCTCCCTGAGGTGCTTGAGGGTTTCCCTTTGGTCTCAGCCCTCCCTGCAGCTCAGTTGCTAAGTGGTGTCCTCTGATCACTCTCCTGTCTGTGGGTGCAGGGTCTGCAGAGGCCTCCTGGGAGTTTTCTTTCATGTTGGATTGAACCAGGGATTTTTCTATAATTACTGAATGATAGTGAAGTGGTATCTTCCCTCTACACACCATCCCAGAGGGGACTGGGTGTACTCTGAGGATGGAGCTCTGGAGATCCCCAAGCCCCAAGTTGGAAAGCACCACTTAGGTCAGTGTTGCTTTTGTGGACTCTCTTGAGTTTCCAAGGCCCTTCTCCTCCTGGATGTGCTGCTGCTAATTGGGATCTGTGAGCTGACCACCACCTCAGCCACCCTGTGTATCCCCAAGGTTGGCACTGACCCTTGCAGCCCTTCTATTATGTCCTGCCTCAGGGCTTGGCCGGGTTCTGCAAGGGCTTAGTGTGTGTCTGTATGCATGTGGGGCACACTGCAACCCCCAAACAGTCACATTTCATAGAATCCTGTAATATCTTAAGTTGGAAGAGACCCACAAGGATCACTGAGTCCCACTCCTGGCCCTGGCCAGACCCCCCAACAAGCCCACCCTGAGCATCCCTGAGAGCGCTGTCCAAACGCTCCTGGAGCTCTGGCAGCCTTGGGGCCGGGCCCATTCCCTGGGGAGCCTGGGCAGTGCCAGCACCCTCGGGGGGAAGAACCTTGCCCTGAGATCCATCCCAAGCCCTGGCACAGCTCCAGCCCTTCCTGGGCTCCTGTCCCTGTCCCAGAGCAGAGCTCAGCCCCTGCCCCTCCGCCTCCCCTCGGGAGGAGCTGCAGCCCCCGAGGAGCCTCCCCTCAGTCTCCTCTGCTCCAGCTGAACGAGCCAAGTGCCCTCAGCTGCTCCTCAGAGCCTTCCCCAGCTCCAT